TAAGCAGTTGTAAGAGGAATGAGGAAGTTTAAACACTGCCATGTTTGGTGCTTTAGATCTATCTATCTATCTATTGATCTATCTATTTATTATAAAGTTGCCACTTTAGATTTATGTATGTATGTATGTATTTATGTATGTGTGTGAAAGGTAGAGTTAGAGAGAGAGAGATAAAGAAATCTTCTACCTACTGTTTTATTCTCCAAAAGCCCCAAATAGCCAGGACTGGACCAGGCCAAAGCCAGGAGCCTGGAACTGTGTTCTTGTCACCCATGTGGATGGTAGGAGCCACGTACGTGGGTCATTATTCACTGTTCTCCCAGACACATTCTCAGGGGAGCTGGGCACATTATCAGCAGAGCAGCCAGGACTCGAACTCACTCTGGACTGTGGGATGCTGGTGTTGAAAGTAGCGGCCTACCCCTAAACTGCACCACCTCAGCCCCTTAGAATGTTGTTTAGATGTTATCATCATGGTGCTGGGAATTTGTTTTTTTTTTTTTTTTTCCTGAAGCTCTCACCTGGAAGAGCAGTATCCTTGCAGACATGGTTAGTATTGGGGGCTGGAGAACGTCTCACAGAGTGCATGGGTCTGCAGATTGTGTCTGGCAGCTACCCCTTCATCATCAGGCCAATAAAGCCCAGTTCTAAAGCTGGCCAAATGTCTCGGGGCGGCAGCTCTGCTCCGGGCTGAGATGCATCCTCGTCTTTACGGTTGAAATGGCATCCGCCCTGGGATTAGTCCAAATAACCCAAGGGGCGCGTGGGTGGAGGGAGGGGGAAGCAAGTTGGACCCTGTGTGGATAATTGAGGCTGTTAGGTGGGCACAAGGGAGTTTATTGCAGCCATCTTTCTGTTGCACACGCCTGCTGGAACTGTTTCAGAATGAAAACAAAACAAAAAGTAAAAAAAAAAAAAAAAAATTACAGGGCCAAAGGAGTAGTAAAATATTTCTACTTCCTCAAAGTGTCTTTTGGCATTTAGGTTAAACATCTTTTAAAGTCGAAGGGTTATAACAGTCATGCAAAAAAGTCATGGTAAGAGGGGCCAGCACTGTAAGGAAGCAGATAAAGTCACTGCTTGTGATACCAGCATCCCATGGGAGTGCTGGTTCGAGTTCCAGCTGCTCCACTTCTGGTCCAGCTCTCTGCTAATGTTCCTGGGAAAGCAGTGGAGGATGGACCAAGTGCTTGGGCTCCTGCACCCATGTGGGAGCTCCATTAGAAGCTCCTCCTGACTTTGGATCAGCCCAGCTCCCACCATTGTGGCCTTCTGGGGGAGTGAACAAGAGTGGACAGTCTCCATTTGTCTCTCCTATCTTGGGGAATAAATAAACCTTCTTAAAAAGTGATGGCAAAGCTCCCTGTTTGTTTTCAAAATTCTGAGAAAGCAAATGATCTGATATTTAAGTGATACTTGCTTTTCCAAATCAGGAAATTGTCTTCTTTTAGTAAAACCATAGGATCTAATCTAACATGTTACAAGTTTTTTTGTTGTAGTCTTTATTAAAATGAGGAGTCTTAGGGCATGGCTGGCACTGCTGTACAACACCCTCCAGGGCTCTCACAATGTACACTACTGAACAGGAAAGCTGGGGGGTGCAGGGGCAGGCGCTTCAACACAGGGAAGCCACCACCTGGGACACCTGTACCCCACACAGCAGTGCCTGGTTCCAGTGGGATTCCCATCTAGCTTCCTGGTAATGTGCCTGGGAAGCAGCAGTGAGGGCTCTGGTCCTTGGGCCCCTGCCACCCATGTGAGCTGCTGGGAGGAGCCCCTGGCTCCTGGCTCCAGTCTGATTCAGGCCCCGTGAGCCTCTGGGGAGTGAACTAGCAGATTTATCTCTGCCTTTCACACAATTACAAAACATACAAAAGAAGATTGGCCACATGCCCTATTTCATTGTACTAAGAGTATGTATAATGTTTAAAAACCTTATACAAATAGTTATTTGAAAGGCAGAGTTACAGAGGGAAAGAGAGAGAGCTCTTCCTTTCTCTGGTTCACTCTCCAGATGACTATAACAGCCAAGGCTAGGCAAGGCTGAAATCAGGGTCCTGAACTCTGTCCAGGTCTCCCACATGCATGCAGGAGCCCAAGCACTAGGACCATTCTCTGCTGCTTTCTCAGGTGTATTAGCAGGGAGCTGGTTGCAAGTGGAACAGCTGGTATTGCTGCCTTTGGTTTAACCCACTATGCCACAACACCAGCATTGTAAACCTCCATTTTTCAAGTTTGTTTTTATTCACTTGACATTCAGAGCGAATGAGATCAATTTCTCTTGGTTACAGAAATATTTGCTTGACTTTCCAAACACATGCAGCGTCTGGGTCTGGCTCATGCTGGAGCCAGGAGCCAGGGTCGCCCATGTGGGTGGCAGCCATCATTGCTGCCTCCCAGGGTGTGCACCAGAAGGGAGCTGCTTCAGGACCAGTGCCCGGGCGCTCTGCTATAGGATCAGGGCACCAAAAGCAGAGGGGTCGGTGTGCAGCAGCAGCTCAGCCCATTGTATCACAACCACCTGCTTACAACTTTGAAAAAAAAATCTTACCTCAAGAAATACATTTCAGTTACCTTTTAGAATCCTTTGTCAAGACAACAGATTACATTATTATGATCCCATAAGTACTAACAGTGATAATGACACAAAATATTTTTCTGGATTGAGCTGATCATAGCCTTATAGTCACAGAAAGCTTTTTTTTTTTTTTTAAAGATTTACCCATTGAACCTGAGTGGGATCTTGCGTCTGCTGGTTCACTCCCCAAATAGCCACAACGGCCAAGTTGAATCAGGCTGAAGCCAGAAACCAGCAGCTTCTTCCAAATCTCCCATGCAGGTGCAAGGTCCCAAGGCCTTGGGCTATCCTCCGCTGCTTTCCCAGGCCACAAGCAGGGAGTTGGATGGGAATTGAAGCAGCCAGGATACAAACCAGTATCCCTTTGGGGATTAACGTGCTATACCACTGCACTGGCCCCAGAAGACAAGTTTGAATTTCATTATTCTTTTACAACAGAATGATCCTAAGAAGGACATGTTTTAGAATTTTAATGACACCAGGAGGGTGGGGTTTGGCTTAGTGCTCCAGCTAACAATGGACTTGGCCCAGGTACCATTAAAAATGGATAGTGTTTTCCCTTGATACATACATGGAAATGCATTTAGGAAAAACCTGTAGGACAGGCACGAGGCTGAGCTGTTCCTGGATGCCCACAACCATCCTGATGTGCCTGGCATCAAGGCCCACCTTCATTGCTGCTCCAGCCCCCTGTTGATGCACCTGGCTGTACTTGGCCACTAGGGAGGTGAACCAGGAGATGGAAGTTCTCTCCACCTCTCCCTCTGTTACTTTAAAAAAAAAATGAATTATTGTTTAAAAGTTATAATTACAGGGTTGATCAGGGAGGGAAGGATCAAGGTTTAGGGAAAATTGGGTGAATTCATTGCTTCCCAATTGGCTATATCTTCTTGTTGTTACTGGGACAAGGGGAGAAATAAAGGAGGAAACCACTCATGACTTTCCACACATTCCAGTACCCAGGGATGAGGAACCACCATCTCATATCATCCCAGGACTCAATGTGTACATTATCCGAGGGTTCTGCTGCCGATTTCACCAAACCAAGGATGTCACCCTCTAGGTTACTCTTGCAAATATTTTTTAAAACTATGAACGGGGCCCACTGAGATAGCCTAGCAGCTAAAGTCCTCACCTTGCATGCGCCGAGATCCCATATGGGCACCAGTTCGTGTCCCAGCAGCCCAGCTTCCCATCCAGCTACCTGCTTGTAGCCTGGGAAAGCAGTCAAGGACAGCCCAATGCCTTGGGAACCTGCAGCTGTGTGGGAGACCCGGAAGAAGCTCCTGGCTTCGGATAGGCTCAGCTCCAGCTGTTGTGGCCACTTGGGGAGTGAGCCAAAGATGAAAGATCTTCCTTTCTGTCTCTTCTCTGTACATTTGCCTTTCCAATAAAAATAAATCTTTAGAAAAAAACTACATATGGATTTCAAAAAAATCTTCGTGCCCAGCTAATCTTTGTTTCATTTTCCCATTTACATTTTGGAGTACCACTGCACAATTTTCAACACAATTTATTAGTGTAGAACAATGCCCAAGTTCTCACAGCTTTTTTTCAGCCTTAAATGGACCAAGCAGTGCCAAGCAGCGCTGCGGTGTCCCAGCTGCCAGCTTCACCCGTGGCGCTTACCTCCCTGCCCTGGCTGCCCCTTTAGTTCTCTGGCTTCCTTGATACTTTTTTAAAAACCTCTACTGCTTTCCTAGACCACAAGCAGGGAACTAGAGAAGTGGAACAGCCGGGATACAGACTGGTGCCCATATGGGATCCTGATGCTTGTGGGCAGAGGATTAGCCAATTGAGTTATAGTGCCAGCCTCAGAAAGCAACTAATTGCTTTGTAAGACAATGTGAAATTATGCAGCGGGGTTGAGCGACCATGCAGATGGAACCATCTCCATTTCAGGATGAGACCTTTCACTGTGCACCCGTCATCTCACCCTCCCATGCTCCTATACACCCTTCCCCTCTTCCTCTGGGGTCTCCCTTCGATCGGGTCCCCCCTTATTTCAGGTGTCTCTAATCTGCTCAGGTCACACTGACCATGACATGTGCACATGCGTGAGCCTAACCAACAATGTGGCGCCCATACCTTCTCCATTGTGGTTTTCTAGGCCCAATGTCCCCATCTCCTTGCTGGGGACTTGCATGTTGACACACGTCCCCTCATGCTGCTGCTCAGGGTTCACCAGCCGCTGGCAAAGAAGCGTGCTGCATTTACTCACTCCCAGCCTTTCTGTGCAGTGGCAACTTGGAGCATGTCACCTCGGGGAAGGCAACAGTCGCACCTCAGGCCTAGAGATGTGGGTGATCCCATGGCTGGTTGGGGCGGCTTTGTGTTGCGGTTTGTAATGACTAGATCTCACTTTAGTCACCACTGTTTAGCAGGAACTGCTAACGACGATGCAGAAACCAACCCAAACATGAACAAATGACCTTTTATTTAGTACAGATACAAAGGCGATTGTGTGGTGCAACAATCAGATGGGCAGTCCAAAATATGGGGAGGAAGTGAATTTGTGGTAAATGTCATGATAGCCAGGCAGAGTAGTCAGAGGAGGGGAGAGCTGGGGCTGGGGAAGGCAGGCAACAGCTAATAAATAAAGGCAGTGACAGTGCCAGTCTCCATGCCACAGCTCCGCAGGGTTCAGGGTGGGATCTGCCTCAGCCGTCAGGGCCTGGCGGGGGACAGCAACCCCCGGCTGGGCTCCCCGCCGTGTCACCTGTTATGAATGAATGACAGGTTTCTGGCTTTCCACAAACACAGGGAGTCCTTTCCTAGGTTTTAGGTTTGAAGCTGGCTGAGTACAGAGCTGAGATGGCTGAGCGAATGCCAGCTCAGGAGCGTGACGTCGGGGTCTTCCTCCCTGTGCAGACTATAATTTTTTTTTTTAAATATGCGACTTTTTACCCCAGAACAAATGCTTCCTTCATTCAGTGTTTAGAACTGAACTATGCTGGACTAATCCCAGCAATTGGGAGACTCATCAAAGAAAGGTGTGGTGTGGGCAGCAGAGGTGAGCGAAGGAAGTAGAAGGCAGGGGTGGGCAGGACCTGCTGGTCCTCGTTCCAGACCACTTCTGGTGGGATTCCCCCTGCATCCTAGTGTCGCAGTTGCGAGAAAGTTCTGGGAGCCTAGATACACCGACAATGTCCTGTCCCAAGGCAGGCTCCTCATAGCGTTACAGAAACCTGAAATCCCCATCACCCTCTGTAAGAAATAATAAGGCACTCTGAAAGGACAAGCTTCAGACACAGTCCTGACTGGTAGCCACAGGGACAGGAATGGCCACCTCCTGGGCATGTGTAGGCGTTGGAGCATGGACTGCCCCTTCTGAACTCTCCCAGCCAATGGAGTGTCATCAACTGGATTTTGTATCTGTGGGGGAGTATGTCACACCAACAGAAAGGCTCCAATTACATGGTGCAAAAATTAAGTAAAAAAAAAATAAAAACACAATCTTCTTTGTATCTGAAAATGCCACAAGGACACCCAAAAGGGGGTGAGCTGGTGAACACTGGTTCCATGCACTCTACTGAAGGGACACAAATACAAAAGGGAGTGTTTTTGGTTAGCAGCGCTGGCCTGGTGCTGGCAACCTGGCTGGCTGACCGTGCCTACCAGACGGAGGCCCCGGACTGGTGCCTGTGGCTTCCACGCTGCTAGCAAGAGCCTGAATCTCATTCATCTGACTTACTGCTACTTGAACCCAGAAGCTCACAGCCCAGGCCAGCATCTGTAAGAACCATGAGAGCAGAGAGAATCTAGGACCCTGCCATTCTGTCATAAGCGATGGGAAGAAGACTAAAGGCACCAGAAGGGCCAGGCAAGGCCCGAGATACAGCTTCGATTTGGATGGGAGGGGGATGTCCCAGGACAGCAGGAGGGGTTAGAAGCGCAGGCCTGTGACGTCGGAGGTTGAGGACGGCTGTGGGCTGCAAGGGCCCTGGCCAGCCTTGACATTTTCACTCCATGCATCCCGGCCAGTGGCACAGCATCCTGTCACTTCCCATAGAACTTCTTGTTGAGCAGGAAGATGAGGAGGTTGACATTGACCTTAGCTCTGTCAAACAGCTTCATGACTGCCACCCCTTCATACTGTAGCTGCAGCAGGTCCTGGTGGGGGGAAACAATGTGAATTTCCTGACAGTTAATCAATTCTGTGCAGCTTGAGAACTTGGAAGGTGTGAGGGACCTAGGGAGGAGCCTGGCAGGAAGGAGGCTCGCTTCAGGGGCCAGACGTGAAGCGGGCTGAGAAGGCTCCCAGCCCAGCCGGCTGAATGTTCTGGTTAATTTGGAGTTCGGAAGGCAGCACCATATTTATATTCAGATACACCACACGTGGCATGACCATGAGGCCTGTTGGGTCATTGCCCACATCTAACCTTTGTATTTGAGAAAGCTGGGCTGACATTTCCCCTGTCTCATCCCCTGTTATGGGTCAGTCAGCCCAGGAGGAAATGCATGAAGCACGGAGAAGGTGACGAGGCTGGCAGTACCAGGAGCGCTTCTCTATGGTGGGTGGGGTTGGGAGGCGGGTAGGGCCTGCCCGGGCCTTGGTTGTGGAGCAGCAGCTGAAAATGAGGCACCACCACCCCCCACTGTGACGGGTGGGTGGAAGGACTTGCCTGCGTGCCTGGCAGGACAGGGCACTGCGGGGGAGGGCTCCTGTCTTTCCTGTACTGCCCCCATCCCCAGGTCCGGCTGAGTTTAAACAACTAGAGCAGGTGTGCGTGAGGGGCCCTGCCCACTTGGTCAGTTCAAGTTCATCTTGTTGAGGGCAGAGACCGGGCTGTGTCACATGTAGTCGCTACTCCCATCTCCTGTCACGGAGGCTGCACCACAGTGGATGGGATTTGAGCACAAAGGAATAAATCACAGGAGGCCGACTGGTGGGCCTTGAAGGCCTTGGTAAGCTGAGGGCACACGTGGGTAGGCTTCTGTGGAAGTGCTGGCTCAACCATGAGACTCACAAAATCATCCAGCACTTGTTCAGCTAACACGATCTGAGGGTGCCCAGGACATGTGACCAAGAAAGGCTTGCTGTCCTCCATGCAGGTGGGGACAAATAGCTATCCCTAACCAGAGGCCATGTCCAAGGGGCCACTGAAGCCAGGGAGAAGCCAGGGCCGGGAGGTGGCTAGGTGGGGCGGGGAAGGGACAACAGGAGCCAGGGCCCGGAAAGGTGCCCGCCGGCTCTGAGAAGACAGCAGCAGGGAAAGCCACGCCAACACAGTGGCCCCATCGGAAGCCACAACCCTCCGCGTCTCTTCCCACGGCCTCCTGGATGCATACCCACCTGGTAATGTAACATGAAAGTCTCCATTTGCACTCCCATAAATTTGGCTTTCACTTCAAAGTCTCCAACTTCTTCAGTTGGGCTGATTTCAAAGATAACATTTTTAAACCTGTTGAAACAGAAGCACAGAGCTTGGATGAGAGTGTTCTGTGAGATGGGGAAAGTAGGGGAAGCAAGCCTTCAGAGTCCAGGGCTTGCGAGGGGATGCAGTGTGGGCTTGCCACGCCCGAGGACTGCCAGCCCGGGGACTTGGCAAGGATGGCCACTAGAGCCACACGCCCATGCCTCCTGATGCAGATGCTGCAAGTGGCCTGTGAAGGACTGATTCTGGAGGCAGTCTCTTGGCCTTCCTACTGTCACCACTGGAAGCCAAGGGAGAACTGGAGTGCGCATGGGGGGAGGAGGAGGAAGAGCAAGAGTCTGAATGCACACCTGTCTGAGGGTTGGCAGAAGCAAGCCAGTAGACCAGAGGCAGCAACAGTTAGGAGCCAAGAGAGTAGGTAACTACTGACAAGTGGGGGTGCCACGTGGGTCCCCACCAGGTCTCACTGATATCAAGGTAAATGTCCGCCAGCCTGGACCCCCATAGTCAACCACATGGTTGCCTCATCCATTGTAAATGGAGCTGAGGGTCTCAAAAGCAGCCCAAAACATTCACGTATAAAACTATGTGCATCTCACTCAATGCAAATATCTTGCAAATATTCCTTTGGTGTGGCTGAAACACTGGTTTCTAAGTTCAGTAGCAAATTAAAAAGGAGAGATGCACATAGAATTGGACACTTGAACAAGTAACAGGCGGTAACGAGAAAAAGAAGAGAACTGATTATAAGCAGTGAGATTAATCCGAAAATGTGCATCAAGTGCCTAACCAAAATAACTCCACACAAACAAGCTAACAAAAAGAATCACACAAAGGTCTTGACTGAAAACTGGAGAAATGCAGAAAAATGATACCTAACCACTTTCCAAAACAAAACAACCAGGAAATACTAAATTAGAAAGCTAGGAAACAATTTTTGAAGATTTTTTCTTAGTTACCAGATTCAAAAAATATAAAAAATAATTTTAGTATTCAATAATGATAAATAATTTTCATATATACTTTAGGTGCTACTAGAAAACTATTTTCAGGCTGCAGTGGTTGGTGTGGCGACTAAAGCTGCCGCCTGAGGTGTATCCCATTTGGGCACTGATTCTAGTCCCAGCTATTATACTGCTGATCCAGCTCCCTGCTGTGGCCTGAGAATGCACTGCAGGATGGCCCAAGGCTTTGGGAATCTGCGCCCACATGGGAGACTCAGAGGGAGCTCCTGGCTTCTGGCTTCACTCCCCTGCAGCCACTGAGGCCAACTGGGGAGTAAACCAGCAGATGGAAGGTCTCTCTCTCTCTCTCTCTCTCCATCTTTCTGCCTCTGTCACTCTGCCTTTAAATGAACAAATTTAAAGGGGGTGGATGGGAGCTCTCCTTAGAGAAGGATGCATGCATGCAGTGCCTGTGGGAACCTCCTTGGCCTCGGGTACCTTTCCCTCATGCTTTATTACATTTTCAAAATCCGATAAACAAAAAGCTCCTCTTTGGTCACAGTTTTTTTGTTTTGTTTTTAAACAAGACACAACAAGAAAAGGCCGAGAAGCCCCAGGCTGCAGGACTGCCTGGAGCCTGGCGAGTGACGCTGGGCCCAGGGTCTGCTCAAGGCCACAGGGGTCCCTCAGTGACCCGGAAGAGAAAACCGCAGGGCAGCTGGCGGGAGGAAGTCCCTCCTTGTTGTTCTTGTTTCTGGTTCAGACACAGAAGAACTTGAAGAAATTGATTTCTGCTTTAAAGAAGGGGGGGAAAATCAATGTGGGATCTACACACAGGTGGTGAATGTTCTGCAAGCAAATCTTTCCGTGTTTATGACAGGTAGGTGAACAATGTGTGATGAGGCAGACTGCTGTGGGGCAAGTGTGCGTTTATTCATGAATAAAATCCCTCACGGTTGGCAGGAAAGACAAAACGGTGAAGAAAGTGGGAGTGGAAACCACGGCCGCCGGGCCTGCGGCGGTAGGAAGGCAGCTACTCACTGGCTCACTTGCAGGTCCTCGATCTCCAGGAGGACGCCCTTCTCGTGCAGTCTTGCAGCCGTGTACTTCAGAGAAATCTTCTTGCTTTTCTTTCCTTTCATCTCCCGCGGCTTTTTGGAGACCCTGTGAGAGAATCCATTGCATTGGCCCACTCTATAAACGGTGAGGTAGGCAGGTCAAGGGAATGAGGTCAGGAAAACCCCCGAGAAAGCAGCAGCACACAGGCAAATGGCCGAACGACACGAGGATCAGAATAGCCAGTATCTCTGCAAAGTGGGGGCAACATCAGCAGATTGCCCACATCCTTAGTACAGACTGGAGAACACGTCTCTGGACTGGATGACGTCTTAGCCCTCTCCATGCCCTCCATGGCACCTGAGTGTCCATCAGCGTGAGAGCTCCGGGCACCAGCCCCCGCAGAAAGTGCCGACCCCAGGTCCCTGAGCTATGCATGCCGGAGGAGTTGATCGTCTTCGGATCAACTGTCATGAGGAGAGCTTAAGCTGGCAGAGGAGAGAGCACGAGCAGAAGTGTGAGGGCTGGCAGGGTTACCAAGGCCAGAAGTAGTAAGAAAATGAGCAAGGGGGAAGGGAGGGAAATGAGGGCTGGGGAGTGGGAACCCCAGGAGGAGAATTTCCAGAACCTTGGCAAGAAAGCACAGCGGGAGGAGGAGAGGATGCCAGGCAAGGTGACGGAGAACAAAAACGTTACGGTGTCCCACTTCCAGCGATTTATCTTGAGAAATACGCTCACATGTGCAAAATCTCATCTACATCATCTACACATACCTATCTAGCTAGCTATAATTCTATATATTTGTGCCTATAGACCTAAACACAATTTAATTTTTAAATGATTTATTTATTTTGATTGGAAAGTCAGATTAATGGAGAGGAGAGACAGAGAGAATGATCTTTTGTCTGCTGGTTCACTCCTCAAGTGGCTGCAATGGCCAGAGCTGAGCTGATCTGAAGCCAGGGGATAGGAGCCTCTTCTGGGTCTCCTGCATAGGTACAGGGGCCCAAGACTTTGGCACGTCATCCTCTACTGCTTTCCCAGGCCACAAGCAGAGAGTTAGATGGGAAGTGGAGCAGTTGGGACATGAACTAGCACCCATATGGGATTCAAGCACACATTCATGGAGGATTTTAGCCACTAGACTATCCGCCTTTCCAATAAAAAAAAAATAAAAATAAATCTTAAAAAAAAAAAAAAACCATCGAGATCTGTCATTGCTTGTGAGGCCAGGAAGCAGTGACCACTCTGGTGGCTGGCACTGCAGCGCAATGAGTAAAGTGCCTCCAGCAATGCTAGCATGGCCTTTGGGTGCTGGCTGGTGTCCTGGCTGCTACACTTCCAAGGAAGCTCCCAGCTAACAGCCTGGGAAAGCAGTAGGGCACAGCTGATGTGCTTAGGTCTCTGCCACCTACAATTCAGACCTGGATGGAGCTCCTGGCTTTGGCCTTGCCCAGCCCCAGCTGTTACAGCGATCCAGGGCGTGAATCAGTAGATGAACGGTAACTGTCTCTTTTTCTGTGTCTATGTGTCTCTTGCTACAGCTCTGATTTTAAAAAAATTATTTTTTAAATGAGCACTCTGGCAACCCAGTGTTCTTGATTAAAAAAAAAATCACATTATTTGAAAGGCAAAGAAACAGACATAGAGCAAAATCTTTTATCTGCTGGTCTACCACCCACATGTCTACAACAGTTGGGCTAGATGAGGTAGAAGGCAGGACTCCAGGCCTCAGTCTGGGTCTTTCAGGCTGGCATTGTGGTAGAGTGGATTAAGCTGTTACTGGTGACACCACCAGTAACATGCCCTAGTGGCTCCACTTCTGATCCAGCTCCCTGTTCGCAACATGCCTGGGAAAGTGGTGAAAGATGGCCCAAGTGTTCGGGTCCTTTCCATCCATGTGAGAGGCCCAGATGAAGTTCCTGGCTTGGGCTTTGGCCTTCCCAGCCCTGGCTGTAATGGCTACTTGAATCAGTGAATGGAAAATCTGTTTCTCTACCTGCCCCCAACTCTGTCTTTCAAATAAATAAATAAATAAATAAATAAATAAATAAATAAATAAAATCTTTAACAAAATCAAAACAAATCCTGGGTCTCTCACATGGGTGGCAGAGCCATTCCCTGCTGCCTTCCAGGGGGCACATTAGCAAGAGGCTGGGAATGGACATGGAGTTGGGACTTGACGCAGGACACACTGACAGGGGATGGGGATGCAGGCAGTCCAGGTGGTATTTTAACTGCAGTGCCCAGCACCTTCCCACTACCCAGATCTCAATTACCACTCACCATTCTTTCTACAAAGGAGGAAGCAGTTCTTTCGGCAAGCTGCCCCGACACACCTTGTGTTAGGAAGTGCTCAAGAGTGGGGACATGTCAAGAGCATACCTGTAGTCACTTGGCAGGCTGGGCAACCTGTTTGTCATCCCAGGCCCAGTTTGCTCCAGGGAGGGAGAGGGGAAGAGTAAAATAAGGTAGGAGGGAGTGGGGAAGCAGATACAGTGAATGTTTCAAGCCTGGGAGAGCTCAGTGAGTCATCTGGTGATTTAGTGCTCTAAGCTGCCTCTCTGAGAAATCCTTCACATGGAAAGAAAGGGATAAAAAGTCAATCAGACAAAGACTGTACAGAACCTGCGGTGACTGCCTCATCTTCCAACCTTTGCAGTTGGTCCCTTTATGGTGAGATGGGCGCACTGATGGTGTGTGGCCAGAACCAGGAGAGCCCCACAGCTTTTCCTTGGTTCCTGAGAAGGGTGTGTGGTTCCGTCCCTCTGGAGGTGCGGAGAGGGCCCAGGGAAGCCACACGTTTAGTAACAGTTTTAATGTGACTTTTAAGTCTATCCAGGTTTGGAGACAGCTAGATGAGTCCCCGCCCACACTATCCTCCAATTTTTCTAGGGCCAAAGAAACACTGGGGAGCAAGACATGCTTAGCTAGAGTGGCCCTGAACTCTCCAGGCCCTCCCAGCTGCAGACAGATGCTGACCTCATAGGCCACCAAAGGGAACGAGGCAATCAAACAAGGGGAACAAAAGAGACTCTCAATGAAATCGTTAAATATATCTTGACAATAGGATGCTGGACTTTCTAACTTTGTCTATACCTAAAATGTCAGGATACACTTAAAGAGCAGAATGATAGACTACACTACTATAATAACACAGGGAAGATCAGTGGGGGGAAGGATGCTACATGGGGAGGATGGAAGGAGAAATCCCTGAGCCTATGGAACTATATCATGAAAAGTAAAAATTAAAAGAAAAATACTCACTTGCCCTTGCTGGCTAAGTTATCCAAGCAAGTTTTGATATAGCTTTTGTAGTAATCCACCTGCTCCCCGTAGAAGGTGGCCTTGGAGTTCAGGGCAGTGTATGTCTGCTGCAACTTGACCAGCTCGGCCTTCCTCCTCTGCCTGTATCTCCGCTGATTCCGAATGTCCTGAAACAGAATTGCTACCATTAGGAAATGGCAGGTCTTGCCTGCTTCCCTGCATTGCCATCACTGACTGGGACAAGGCTTTGCTAGCTGCCTAAGCTTACATGCATGCCTAATGGGCGGCAATCTGTGTCCACAAATCAACACAGAAATTTAGATTATCAACTATTTCTGGCCCCCCTGTCCCACCCATTTATATCTTACAGCAATAGGGAATGTATTAGAATCAAACTTCCACAATCATAGAATTTACTTGTCAGCAGGAGAGGGAGAGGAAGAGATGTGTGTGCCAGTGGCCAAGCCCTTGGGCAGGAACCCAGGGCGTTTAAGGCCAGGCTGTGGCTGTCCAAGGCCTCAGCCCATGCCACATAAGGACCTGCTGATCTGTTTGTGTTCCATGAAGGAGACCTGAGTGGGGACGGTCACTCTGGGCGCGTCTGACAGAGCCATACGCCAGCCCCCCCGGGGTAGTACCCTGGCGATGTCATTGATCAGCTCCTGGTATTTATTCTTTGGGTCCACGGTCCCGAGCTCGGTGAGCTTCTTCAAGCCCGTCTGGATCTTCTCCTTCTTCTCCTGCAATGTGAGGCTGCTGTCTTCCTGCACGGACTTGGACTTCTTCATCTTGTCGGGGGTCTTGGCATCACGGATGGCACGCCTCTGCATGGCCCGCTGATGCTCTGCTTCCTTCAGATGGAGAAAAAGAGATTCTTGACAAGCTTGCCACAGAAACACTAAACTCAAAGCTACATGTAGCCCGGGCATGTGGGAGCTCAGAGAGCTCCCATGCTCTATTCTGGAATGGATGAGAATCAGCAGATCTCTTCCACAGAGGTCACAGCTCAGGCTGGCACTGTGATGCACTGTGTTAGGGGGCCACCCACAGTGCCAACATCCTGCATGGCTGCCAGTTTGTGTCCTGGTTGCTCTGCTTCTGATCTAGCTCCCTGTTGACATGCCTGGGAAAATGGCAGAAGACAGGCTAAGTGCTTAGACCTCTGCATCCATGTGGGAAACTTGGAAGAAGTTCCTGACTCCTAGTTTTGGTCTGGCCCAGCCCTGGCTATTGCAATCATCTGGGGAATGAACCACCGGACAAAAGATCTCAATGTATGCAGGGAGCTGAATTGGAAGTAGAGCAGCCTGAAACATGAACTGGTGCCCATATGGGATGCCGATGACACAGGCTAAAGCACAGCCTACTATGCCACAGCACTGGCCTCTGCATTTTCTTCTCCAATTCCTTGCAATCTAGTTTGAGCATCTTCTGTTTTCATCGCCAGTCGCCACACCCCTCCCCTTCGGCCTTTCAAATCCAATGTCTACTTGTAGTCAACACCTGGATCATAGTCTAACCTGTCTTCCTGCCCTCGGCCCCAGCTGGCACTCCTGAAGCACCCAGCGTGTTGCCTTCTGCTTCCTCTCGGTACTTTCTGTGGGCACTCCTGTGCCACGTGTCAGAGGCTCCGAGGCCACAGTGTAAACTGTGCTGTACTGGCATGTTTGGGATGGCTGCAGTTCAAACTTGTAATTTTCCCTCAACCAGAACAATTTCCTTCCCGAATGTTTCCTTTGCTTCTAATGTCCAGATTATGCTACACTCACAGTGTGTGAAGCACAAGCTCAGGGTCAGGGAGGCCAGGGTCTGGGGCTGCTCCTGTCGTCACAAGTTATTTAGTGGATCCGAGGGGCTTGATATCCTTGTTTATAAAATGGGGAGGAAGGCCCTGGCACAATAGTCTAGTAGCTAAATCCTTGCCTTGCATGTGCTGGGATTGCATTGATTCATATACTAGCTGCTCCACTACCCATCCAGCTCCTTGCTTGTGGCCTGAGAAAACAGTTGAGGACAGCCCAAAGCCTTGGGACCCTGCACCCGCACTGGGGAGCTGACGGAAGCTCCTAGTTTGTGTCCGCTTAGCTCCAGTGTTTGTGGCCTCTTGGGGAGTGAACCAGCGGACAGAGGATATTTCTCTCTGTCTCTCCTCTCTGTAAACCTTTCCAATATGTCCATTCTGCTCAGTCAACACCATCACTCACTTCTGGCAGTGCTTTCATTGCTTCAGATTTCTATTTTTAATGGTTGTATCACTGTTTCACACTTCCCCAGTAAAAGCCCAGAGCTCACTGAGCCTAGAAACTACTCTGTGCTTGTCCTCAATCTACCAAGGTACACAGAACTCCAACCATGTAGCCATCAGTCAGTTGCAGGACAGGCTCCCCTCTGCAGGACAGCACCAGGAAACTTGGTACCCCAGGTGCCATGTGGACGCAGGAACCAGCCACCTTCTCATGGTAGGCATGATCACCCACCCTCCAGCCAGGCTCACACCTGCTCCACATGCCCGCCTGGGAGAGCTCCCACATGGGAGAGCTACTGGCCTTGCGAAGAAGGCATGTACTAAGCCAGCAGCCTACCTGCTCGCTGGTGGCCGAGGTTTCCAGGATCTCAGTCAAGGTCTCCCCTGGCTGGAAGCGGATGACATCCACAATCAAACGTTTGGTGCTGCAATGAGATGGGGAGGCAGTGAGGTATTGCCCGGTGCGCTCTGATCCTTATGTGACATTAGCGGTGACCTCAAAACTTGCATCAGTCCCAGGCTACAGCAGTCCCACAAGCAGCTGTCACACACAACACTCAATCCCCTTGGCCTAGTTAGGTGTCTGCAATGTCTAGCAGACCAGGTACCAGGGTCAAGGTTTACAACAGCGTCTCGGCGGACAAGGTGAAGTCCTGTTCCAAGGACGATCCTCAAGGTGATCATCAGGATGATAGGTGAGGCCCATGATGCCTGCCTCTGATGGGCCGCAGCGGGCTGGCTCACAGCAGGCCAGGGCCCTGTGCCCGCCAGCCCCAGTGCTCCTGCCACTCACTTTAGCAGGATGGTCCTCGCGTCCATTTCGGCGTTCTCATCCCCAGGTACATCAAACTTGTTGGTGAGGGTGAGGGAGACCTCTGTCTTAGCCAGTGCTTCTTTATTTGGGTCAGTGACATTACCAGAGCTTTCCCCTGAAGGGCAGAAAGAATCACTGTAAAAGAGGAGACGCTGGGGGCAAGGAACACACACAGAAGATGACGTGTGCCTTTGACACAGCCCAAGACGACATCTGAACAAGCCAACACACACGGTGGTCTGAGAGATTTTTTTTTTCTCTAAATGTTTCACCATGTGATAAGGGAAAAGGAGCCACATGAAAAATAACTTCAGAAATGCCTGGGTGCTGGCGCAGTGGCACATCAGGCTAATTTTCCACCTCTTAGCACCGGCGTCCCATGTGGGCGCCAGTTTGTATCTCAGGTGCTCCACTTTCCATCCAGCTCCCTGCCTGTGGCCTGGGAAAGCAGTCAAAGACGGCCCAAAGCCTTGGGACCCTGCACCCACGTGGGAGACCTGAAGGAAGCTCTTGGCTTCAGATCAGCTTGGTTCTGGCCATTGTGGCAACTTGAGGAGTGAACCAGTGGATGGAAGATCTTTCTATCTCCACTCTCTGTTGCCTATTGCCTTTCCGATAAAAATAAGTGAATCTTAGAGAGAGAGAGAGAGAGAGAGAGAAAGAGAGAGAGAGGGAGGGAGGGAGGGAGCAGAAAGGAAGGATGACAAGACATGCCTGAGCCACTGCAGCGCAGTTCCCCAGTTCCCTCTCAAATGCTCGCTCCATTTTGGGGCTGCATCTAATAAGTGCAGGGTTTTCAAGTCTGTCTGCAATCATCTCTTCTGGCAGTCTGCAGCCCAACACCAACACAGAGACCAAGGCCATAACAGTGCTGCCACCCTCCGCCACATCTCCCTGCAGGGCATACCTATGAGGGACTCGATGGTGGGCACCTCGCCGAGGTCGTCCAGCAGTTCGTGGATGGGGTCGTTGTGCTCTGGGGCGATGGCATCCTGGTGATCTAACAGAAGCTGTGGCAGATGCCAGCGGTCAGTACCACCCACATGCTCAGCCTGCTGGCCTCGGCCGTCCCTTGGCACTGAGCAGCAAGGAGGCCAGGCAGCAAAGCTCAACGCTCAGAACTCACTAACCAACTCCCCTCCCTCACCCTGTACGCTGACCCAGCCTAACTTCGGAACCTGGACAGCCCTCGCCTGGGGCTCTGCTGTTGGCCACCTGGAACTCAAATCTGTGACAAACAAAATGCAAGTGAAACCTACAAGCTCTGCTACACAAAGCTGGGCTTGGTGTGTGGTGCAGCCTGTTAAGCAGCAGCCGGGGATGCTGGCATCCCACCTCAGCTGCTCTGCTTCTTATCCAGGGAATGCTAACGCAATTGCAAAAGCAGTGCAAGATGGTCTAAGCACTTGGACCTCTGCCAACTATATGGGAGATCCAGATGGCGCTCTTGGCTCTTGGCCTTGTGTAGCCCCAACTGTTGCAAACACATGGGAGTGAACCAGAGGATGGAAGATCTCTCACTCTGCCCTTTTTTTTTAAAGACTTATTTATTTTTCACTGGAAAGTCAGATATACAGAGAGAAGGAGAAACAGAGAAAAAGATCTTCCATCCAATGATTCACTCCCCAAGTGGTTGCAATGGCTGGAGTTAAGCTGATCCAAAGCCAGGAGCCAAGAGCCTCCTCCAGGTCTCCCTCAAGGATGCAGGGTCCTAAGACTTTGGGCCATCCTCTATTGCTTTCCCAGGCCAAAATCAGGGAGCTGGATGGGAAGTGGAGCAGTTGGGATATATGGGATCCAGGCACATGCAAGGCAAGGACTTTAGCCACTAGACTATTGTGCTGGATCCTATCACTCTGCTTTATGGACTTGGCACAATAGCTTAGTGGCTAAATCCTCACCTTGCACACGACGGAATCCCATATGGGTAATGGTTTGTATCCCAGCTGCATCACTTCCCATCTAGCTCCCTGTCTGTGGCCTAGAAAAGCAGTGGAGGATGGCCAAAATCTTTAGGACCCTGCCCCCACGTGGGAGACATACAGGAAGATCATGGCTCCTGGCTTCAGACAGGCTCAGCTCTGGCTATATCTGCCATTTGGGAAGTGAACCAGCAGAGGGAAGGTATTTTCTCTGTCTCTCCTCCTCTCTGTATATTTGCCTTTTCAATAAAAAATACATATTAAATCTTAAAAAAAAAAAAAAAAGAAGAAACCTTAAAAAAACAAAACACCCAGAGCAATCAGTGTACTCTGGTAAGTCAATTCAAGCAACTCACACCCAGACTTTTCTTAACACTCAGAGGCTGGACCCCATCCTTGGAGCCCCGATAAAGCCTCCTGGGTACCAGGAGCCCGGGCAGTGTCCTGGGAGTTGAGCACCCATGCTGCAATCTTTCTCCATGTCCACACTGGGCAAAATGCCAATCTTTTTGTTAAAAAAAAAAATCTAAAGAAACAGCTTACAAGGGAAGCATCGAAGCATCTCTCCATGCAATGCACAGGAAGAGGTGATTATTCTAAATCCTGTTAATTCCACAGAGGGCTAAAGTAAAAAGAGAGAGAGGAAAAAAAAAAAAAACCAACAGTGTTGGTTTTTTGAAGCCTGTGGATTGGTGTCCATGAGGGAGACTTTGGGGTCTATGTGCATTTGGGTGGTCGTGGGTAAGGGAGCTTCACGTTGACCTGGTGGCTAGGGACACCTCGGGGGACACTCGGCAGTGAATGTGCTGAGTGTAACGAGCGAAGGAAGAAAGACCACGGGGAGTTGTGCTGGGGCAGACGCTGGCCACCGGACGGGGGAGCTGATAGTTAAGGACAGAGCAGGGAGAGGAAGCAACTGAAAGAAGAACACTCACGGTGTGGGTGTTGATGATTTCACCGATGGAAATGTAGATAACCGGTTTGGTGAGTGTGACCAAGTCGGAGTACTCATCCACATTAAACTTGTCCTGCAGCTCGGGGACGTCGCAAGCAGTCTGGAAAAATCGTCTGAAAGCAAGCACAGGAGGCAGCCCCCGCGCTGAGAGAAGCCAGCAGGGGCATGCATCCCAGAGACAGGGCCGGGAGGCAGGGTTCCGCAGCCTCTCTCTTCACCCGTCAGCTGTCACATAAATACAGCTCTCAGGGGGCCTGGCCAGTGACCTTCAAGACAGCACGCTGGGGTACAGAACCCAAGCTGCCTAAATGCTAATGCACACGGGTTCCAATCTCTCTTGAGATGCAGAGTAACAGGTGCCCAACGCGCAGCCTCTGCGTCTGTGCGCGCCAAGTCCTGGCTGCTGTGTGGGGAGGCGCTCTGCACCAAGGGACGCACCACCCACGGCCCCGGGCAATCTACAACAGGCTGTCGGTGGGTGCTGGGGGGCAGGGGGAAGCCCACAGAATGTATCTGGCCCCTTACCTGAATTTCTGGTAGGACTGGGAGAGGTACTCGTTAATGACGCTGAGGTGCGCGTTATCACCCAGGAACATCTTGTTGGAGGCGGCGTGCTGCAGCATCTTGGCAATGGAGCCCAGGTTGCGGCGCTGGTCCGTGGTCAGCTGGCCCCCCGCCGACAGGTCGATGATGTCAAAGGCATCGGGAGCCACGATGGCGGGGTTCATGTACCGGTAGTAAAGCAGGTTACCGATGATCTGGGGGGAGTGCAGAGGGACATAGCAGATAAGCGCATGTGAAAAACCACACTGCCGAGTGAGCCACAGACCACTCTGCTAACAAAAGACAATCAGGGAACGCAGTCCTGGGAGGAAAAGAAACACAAGTACGCAGCACGTATGACATGCAGGCATGCATGCTTTCCTCAGGGCTCAGGAAGGAAACCACCGAACAGCCCTCTGTCAGAGGTGGCAGGTGGGGGTGCGAGGATGAGGACACACCTGACCAGGACCAGACCCAAGCAGACTCCGAGTGCGCTCTCAGCACTCCAGGGCCCCTGAGGTTCATCCACCCTCGGCTGCTGTGTTCCCCTGGGGAGGCTTCCCTGGTCATCAGCACAGTGCACTCCCCCGCCCTCCCCTACCGGCCTCATGCTGCAGACTTCAAAGACCCCAGCTCATGCCCAGGAAGAACTCAAGTCAACACACATCTCTTCCTCAGGGGGAAGGGAAAACAAAAACAAAAACAAAAAACAGTCACGGCATTCCCCTTAGAGTTTCATTCAGAAAGAAAAAAAAAAAAAAAGAATTCACCTGAATGAACAGAAAGCCTAGAATCGAGGCCTCACTGTAGGAAAGCACAGAACTAGGAGAGAGAAGAAAAAAGCGTTCAGATTAAAAAGAGGAAACAAAAAAAGCAAGGAGCACAGCTGAGAGAGTTACCAGCAACAGCCTCAGCAGGAAAGTTACACCCGCTGCTATTCCCCTGGCCGCCAGCAGAGGGAGCGACTGCTCAGCCAAAAGACAGGAATTTAATTCAAGCCATGAAATGTCCTCCTTCTCCACCTGTGTGTGCTCCACTCAAACTGCACAGGAACCATGTACATGGAGTAACAGTTGAGCTGATGCCAGAACTCACCGTGGGCACTTACTAACAGTCAATGGTCAGGCCTAACTTTCCAGCTTTTCCTCAGAGGGCCAGTGGGGGGACAGAGAGGGGACAGGTACCTGCCAGCGTTGACATGCTTACCTTCAACAGCTCATCCTCACCAGCATCTGGAAACTTCTCATGCAACGAGTCCTTTAGCACTTTTGCAATGAAGCGCATCCCATACCTGTGGGGTGGACAAAAGCCAGTGAGCAGGACCAAGGGGCCGGAGGGCACCGCAGCTATGTTCTTATTGGGGTCACGGCAGCAGGCGCCACTCACGGGATTTTGTCCACGGAGCTGATGATAGCTGACAGGAACTTGTCTGTCACAGCCCGCATGTTCCTGATAGAGTTGTCCAGGCGGGTCTTGACTTCCTCATGAGCCAGGGCCTGCTCGGGGGTCACGTCATAGGGCAGTTTGCTAGGAAGGAAGGATCAGATGGAGTTAGGAGTAGCCAGCATCTTCCACAAATAAAAAGCAGAAAGCCTGGGCACCTAAGATCCCAGGCCTGGCAGGTGGTCAGGCTAGAGTATGAACCTGAATTTCTTTTAATAAAGTGAGAGGTAAAAGCCAGCAGCCTGGAACTCCATCAGGATGTCCCACATGGGTGGCAGGGACTCGATTCAGCCCTGTCCTGTGGGATACCAGCCTCACAAAGTGGTGGCGGCTTACCCTGCTGGGCTGTTTTCAGGTGGAACTTCGTGCCCTGAGTTATGTGCCAGGCACTAGAACAGGCTCTAGGAAACAGGAGCTGAAGAAGATATGCTATCATCTCTCACAGTCTGGTGTGACACACACACACACACACACACACACACACCCCGCTGTGCCCCAAGTCCACATGGAGGAGCTTGTGCTCAGACTGGAGAAGGAAGAGATCCAAGACAAAGGGACACCCGAACTCAGGAAAAAGGAAGTGACAGGGTCTCCCCGGAAGGCAGGTCAAATCGCACAGAATGGACAGCAGTCCTGTAGAAAATGCTAATAAGGTTGGACTCTATACGCCTGGGGAAGCCACCATCACGAATGAAAAGAGGAGACATATACTCTATCTACTGCTTCACTCCCCAGTGGCCTGGAGCCAGGACCTTCACACAGGTGTCCCATGTGGGGCCAGGGACCCAAGGACTTGGATATCCTCTGCTGCTTTAGTGGAACAGCTGGGACTTGAATCAGTGCCCATACTGGATGCTGGCATCACAGGTGGCAGATTAGCCCATTACACCACAGCACCTGCCCATGAAACCAACCTTCTATGGTTTTAAGTCCCCCACATCATGGATGTTTGTGCAGCAGCCCTGTGCAGACTGACACAGCAAATAGGAAGCCAGCTCCGTTTGTTGCAGCAACAACCAATGGGAGCAGTTGGTGAGGAACAACCAGTTATGTTAATAAAGAGCTTTGTGTACCTTATTTTTTATGTGATATGCTATACATCTATTATATTACTCAAATTTATAATGACCTTTTGTGCTTAATACTCCAAAGAAAGTTATAACAAGCACAAGGAATGACAGGAACGGCTATAGTTGGATACTACAATGTTACACTTTGTGACTTCCAAGGTAAATTTTCCTGAGATGTGACAGAGACTCAATGCCACATGTGTGGCACGTAGCGTGTGGCAGAGCACACGGCATCCCGGGAACAGCATCCCTGAGTCCAGGTGCAATGCAGACTCTCATTGCGCCTTGCAGTTAGTGACACACGGAATATGAACACATGGGGAGAATGCTTGGTCCGCAGTGCAAGATGCACGCAAGCCTCCTTGGAGAACCTGGTTCAATGCTCAACTCAGCTTCCTGCTGAGGCAGACTTGCAGAGCTGGTAGTGGTCCTGCCACCCACACGGGGGGGAGGGGGGTGGGAGGCCTGGATTGAGTCCGCTGAACCCACTTTCAGCCAGGCCTGGCCTGGTCTGGGCATTTGTGGAGTGAACCAGCAGATCTGAGCTAGTTGGCTTGCTCTAACAAATAAATATGTAAATATAAGAAAATGGTTTAAGGTGTTAAAATTGCCACCATTTCATGAAAATAAAAACAAAAGCGGCCAACTTCTTACAGACACCTCCAAGAAAAAATATCCTGGAATGGCCAGTGGGATTTTGACCTGGGCCATGAATGAAAATGACTGTGTAGCCCTGAGCCAGCATCCATGGAGCCGTTGTCCAGGGATGCCCCGGGAGGCAGGCAGGACCTGCTATACAAGTACTGAGGCAGCCGAGCACTGGCCGGCTGTGGGCCTCTGACTCCTGCTGCCAAATCTATAGAGCTCTGCAAACTCAATTCAGATGCCAAATGATTCCATGCAGGAGAGAAGCCTTTTCTACAAGTTGGCAGAATGTTCTGCTCGTTCCCCAGGATATGGCAGAGCATTACTAATTCAAAGTGTGGGGCCAGAAACTAGTCAAAGACACAATCAGGAGACTGGGTCAGAATGTAAGCTGGTGGCTGCTTCCTGTCCATGGAGGAAACGTCACTGAAACAAACGCTTTGCCAGGGACGAAGTGCCACGTGGCTCTGTGAAACAGGCTTGGTGGCCCCACGCACCTGCAGCACGTGCTTGCCCAATTCCCAGGAGAAAGTTCCACTCACCACACTCACTTTTCTGTCGTCAGCCACACCAAAGGAAACCAGAAGCCCTGTGCTGCCCTGGCCCTAACTTCCCCACCTCACACACAGCCTCACCTTTGCTTTCCATGTTAGCCTGGTGGTTAAGCCATGGCCTCACCTAGCACAGGGGTCTCCTGCGACACATTAACTTTGTTAGGGCAACTGTTAGAGATTCTGGGGCAGTTCAGCACTCACCCTGTGCCAAAGGAACACAGAGCTCTCGCTCAAGCTGTGTGACCCTCCTACCCAAGTGCCTGTCCAGAGCACTGGGCACGCAGCCATTCACTAACAAGGCCAGTCCCACTTCACCAATTGGGCCAACAGGCGTGCTCCCTAACCACCCTGACCTGCATCAGCTCCCTGCTGCACTCCATTTGCTGCGATGCAATCTTAAACCTCCCTTGAGTCCTAAGTGTGCTTTCATTTTCAGGTGCCTACTTGCTGTTTCCCACGCGATCAACCACTGAAAGAGGGTAGGCAGCAGGCCTGTTGGGCATTACCAGCTGAGCCCATGCCAACTGTGTCACTGCACAGGGCACTGGCACAGGTCCAACACAACATACTGGCTGAGATGATGTCACAGTGGGGCAACAACCGAGAGAACAGTTTACTAAGGAAAACTGCTGTAACCACTGCTAGATTGTAAATTGCAGGGTAGATAAACTGCTCTAAAAGAGAAAGAGTGAAAGGGAGAGTGTCCCGGTCCCCATACCTTGCCTCTCCTGTCTGAGACTCCATTTGATTGACCCACGATTTGTAAATGTCCACGGGGTCGGTCTTGATGTTCAGCGACTTGTCGTCCATGATCTCCTTCACTACGGGGGCCAAGATCTGTCTCAGGGCATTCTGGCCCCGGGCACCACGGTTGAAACTCACAACCATCTTAATAACCGTGGGGTTGCCGGTCACAATCTCTTGGATCTGATCCACCTTTGACCTATAAAACACCACATGTGAATCCCTTGGAAGTTAGCTGGGGACGCATGTGCCTCCGACACTTTCTCCCCTGCCTGGAGCACCTCCCCCTATGCTGTGGAGTCAGCATCAATTCTTCTATTAGACAACCATGCAGAGCCTGCAGGTTCGGGTCAGCTGCGTTCCAAATGACAGTGTTACCCATGGTGGTCCAAAAGTTCAACTGGTCTGGTCTGTCTTCTCCTCTAGACTTCCTCTGGACTTTGTATTAGCCCTACTGTAAAAGTGGGTGCTCCCCAAGACCCTCGGAGCATGCCCCACATCAGGGACCTGGGATGGGTGGGAGCCTGGGTGGTACTTCTCCCTTTATTTCCTCCTTTGCTCCAGATACAGGAAAAAAAACAATGTGGAAATAATAGTCTTACCCACTTTCCTGTAGCCCTTGAATCTTTTTGCCCTAATTAACTATGTAAAGATTATCAAAAATAAAGAAAAAAAAGTGGGTGCACCCCCAGAATCCTCCTCATGCACTGGCTGCCCCCTGGGCCCACCCGCCACCCGCACCCGCACCGTGGCTGGCCATCCCTACTTGATCTCCTCCTGGAGTGCCGTTTTGAAGAGCCGCAGCAGCAGGTACTCCTCTCTCTGGTTGGACGCGTAGTTGTAGAGTGTGAAGATAACGGAGTCCATGAACTTGGTGGACTTGTTCTGGGGCATTTGAAAAATCAGCTTGGCCAGATAGGTGGGATTGGTCTGCAACAAAAACCCAGGGGTCAGCGACTGTCGCACACAGGCATGCTGCATAACTACACTTTCAGCCAATGATAGACTATGGACACCACGGTGTTCCCATAAGATGGAGACAGGGCTGAAAATGCCCTGGCTAACAGCTATGGCGAGGTCACAGCATAATACATCACTCACATGTCAGTGGGGCTGCAGATGTGAAACCACCTACTTCAATGGCAGCTCTGTACAAGGATAACGCCTGTGATTCTGTGCCGCATGCAGTACCCAACAACGACCACAGACAACTGCATGACATGTTGCGGCATTTACGGTGTATTCATCATTACAGTGGAGTGTTCTCTTCTCTACTTATTCATTTAGAAGAGCTTACTGCAATGCAGTATGCTGTGTTATTAAAGGTGAGCAAGTTAATACATTCTCACATTGGAACCAAATGGCCGCCCTGAGGGGCGAGCATTGTGGTAAGCACATTAAGCCTCTGCTTGTAGCACCAGCAAGCTGTAACAGAGTGCTGGTTCAAGTTCTGGCTCTCTGCTTCTGACCCAAGTTCCCGTTAATGCACCGGAAAGGCAGCAGGAGACGGCCGAGTACTTGGATTCCTGCCACCTGTGTGGGAGACTCAGGTGGAGGTCCTGGCTCCCGAGTTCAGCCTGCTCCACTCCTGGCTGTTGTGGCCATTTAGAGAGCTCACCAGTGAATGGCACATCTTTCTCTGTCACTTTGCATTTTAAACAAGTAAGCAAATCTTGAGAGAAAGTATGCCCTATGGACTGACTACCCTATAGGTAGATTGGTGTATTTGTGTGAGACAAAACTGCCTAGCCACACACTCCTTAGAATGTTTCCTACTCCCAAGCAAGGCATAGCTGTACTATGAAGCTGGGGGAAAAAAATCATATTGCTTTACTTCAAGGGTTAGAACACCTATAGAAAAAAAAAAAAAAGCAGCCTTCACATGCCCCTCAGTGGGTATGGGAAATACTGCCGAGTGATGGGCAAGGTTTTCTCAGAGAGGAAAAGCAAACCAGGTTTTATGATACCAATTGCAGGAGCCACTTACCTGCAATAAATAAAACAGGTGCTGATAGGCCTCCAGCTTCTCCCGCTTCTCCTTGCTCAAAGCCTTGAGGCCGCCCTTCTGCTTGTTGAGCATCATCATGTCAGACAATTGTTCCTTGTTTTTTTTGGTAAGTTTTTTACTGTGGGAAACCACATCCTGGAAATGAAACCCAACATGCAGATCAAAAAGCTGTCGAGGTTTCTCCCTGGGCATCGTGGAAGGTTGTTTAACAACTGGGAAGGTCGACTGCCCAGGCAGGCCTTGCTGGACAGTCCACAGGGGCATCGCTTTGTCCTGTTCCTATGTCCCTGGTCTAGCTCATTCCCGCTTCAAGCTTTCCACGAGGAAAATGAGCCATAAAAACGTTTCCTGACCCAAGAAACCAACCCCTTTGATTCTACCTTAAAAAAAAAGTTGAACTAAAATAAATATGTGTAGCTATCAATTGCAGTTTTATTCCCAAGGAAAAGTCAGAAAACAATCTGAAAGTCGGATCCCAGGAAGGCAAAGTAGTACATCATAGTCTTTCATGTCACACTGCTGTGATATTCTGGGGGCAGGCATTCAGGCCGGGGGTTGGGACACTCTCTGGGGCACATGCATTCCACACTGGAGGCCCTCGGTTTGGGGCCCGGCTCACCCCTGACTCCAGCTTCCTGTCAACCCCAGGCCCTGGGAGGGAGCAGTGATGGCTTGAGTGGTTGGGTTTTTGCCATCACATGGGAGCCCTGGATTGAGTTTCTGGCTAATTTGAAGCAAAAATGTATATAATAAGATTACCAGATGGTGGAACTGAAGGAGGATTTTTATCATCTCTTCTCTACCTGAAATTTTATCTGTTAAATTGCTTTATTTCTTCTGTAAGCTGAGAGGCAAGTGAGGTTCCACCCTCCCTGCGAGGGAAGAAGGCGCACAGCTCCCGGCCACACAGCCGTGGCCCATACCTGCAGGGTGATCTTATTTTTCACCAGCAGTCCGATCTTGATATCCATGAGGTTGAGGTCATTCTCCAGCTGCTGGTTGGAACGGATGAGGGTGATCACCTCCTCCCGCATCTTCATGAGGTCCAGCTCCTCCTGGAAATCCTGGTCACTCTGGTCCAGCAAGTGCACGAATTTCCGTACCACAATCATAGGTGGATCCTCGGCGTTGACTGATGGGACAGAGAGCATGTGTCAGTCAAGAAACAGTTGCTGGGATAACTTCTAAGCCTCAGGAGGTACCAGAGGACTATAGAAAGCTCCTGAAAAAGGAGATCAAAAGACACTTTCATTTTGGTTAAAATAGAAAGGTTTGAAACCCAATGTCTTCCTTCCATGCATTTCCACAAGCTTTCACACCAGCACTACCCTGACAAAACAGCCCTATTTGCACTCGAGGAATCTTTTCACTTCTGAGATATGCTAAGACTTCCACCTAACAGTGTCTCCTCGGTTGTGCTGCTGGGTTATGACAAACGCCAGCCCAACTGGCAGCAAGACACCAACCAAGCGTCAGGTCTTGCCTCCAGGATAACATAAGAGATCTCTGAGAACACTCGGAACCTGGTGGGGCTCAGCCACACCTCAGCTCCCGCTAAGCCAGTTACTCACTGAGCGTCTTGTAGTCGTCACGAGCTTTGTTGGCACGGATAAAAGCCTGGATTTTGATGATGTCATTTATCTACAGAACAAACACAAAAGCAACATTCCCCTGTCCATTTGCCTACCAGAAGCATGGCCAAACCAATGGACAGTCCTGGCTCTTTCACAACCACTTGTAGGTACTTACGTGGTCTCGGAAATATTGGAGGCGATCTCTGTAGCGCTTTCTAGCTTGGTGCATCCTGGCCAGGGACTGGATCTGCAAGGAGCCCAGGAGTGAGGGGGAGCCCACGTGTATGGCACATGCCACACGGGCATCCCACCCTGCTGGGGAAGCCCACCTGGGACCCATACCTTCACCACTTCATCTCGGTGGGAGCGTAGGTAGGCCAACCGGTCCTGGTATGCCTTCTTCTGCTTGTACCCTCTCCACTGCGACTGCAACCAGCATACACGTCCCAAGGATGAGTGGATGTAAGAACAGACCCTCACCTGGGCTCCTCTGTGTTACCCAGGTGTGGATGTTCCCAAGGGACTTCAGTGAGGACCTGGGCCCGTGGTGACACGGGAGTGGCGGCAGGGCTGACTCCCCCTGTCCTGGCATCAGCATGGCCCTCACACCTCTCCAGGCAGATCTAGATTAGATCCCCGATTACAGGCCAGGACACAGAGAGCCCTCACTATCCTGGAGCCCCAGTCACCCGCTCAGAATGAGTTCTATGACATGCACTGGTGAACTTCTCCATAGCTTCCCAAGGTTCAAATCTAAACCGAGAGCAGGCATAGGTGCAGAAGACAAGCAGAGGTGTCCCCGTACCAGCAGCAAACTCCAGGAAGCACACTCAGAAACCACGAGGTTAGTGAAGCAGGAGGAACTCCGCCAAGGAAAGACAAGACATTGCGGTCAGAAGCCAAAAAATCACACCCAGAGCCGGAAGGTCAGAGGGGACAGTTTATTAAGCCCACTTGCTGTCTGCACCACAGGCTCCGAGATACCTGGATGCAGGTGATGGCAGGGATCTGCTTCTTTAGGAAGTTCATCCTGGACTGGAATTCCTGCCGCACTAAGTACCCACGGCAGCATGCCTGCAGCTTGGTGATGAGGCCCTCGTTGGCGAGCCACAGCTGCTCGCGGTTATATGCGGCGGTCACCCCGGAGATGGAACTCTGAAAAAGTGTTGAGTCACACTAAAGTCACTCGCAGGTGAGAACCGACGTGGCCACAATGTGCCAACCGTCCCTGACTGCTAAGAAACTGTTCAGAACAGCACTGGCTCTGATCCTCACTGTTGAAACCCTGTTGATACCATCTTCCTCTAAAACAGAGGTGAGTCCCCCTGAACACTGGCTCCCTATGCTGTTAACTAAACATCTTACTCCCCACCCCACTCTTATGTGCTGAAGGTCCTCATGGCGCTGGCCAGCTGGAAGGCAGGCATGCTCTGGATCATCTGGGCCTTTAACCACTGCCCAGTTCACTTCACATAATGCTACAATTCAGATACTTTACTAATTTAGGCCTCAGCCATTCCTCCAAAGATTCAAAAGGATTACTCCCAAACAGCTTTTACGGACCCTGATTTTAGTCTAGAGTCTCCTGGCTTCTAGGCCCTACTGCTCTTAACTAGTATCAGCCCCGAAGCACCTTCCTGGAACAGCACTGTGGGACAGAGGCTTAAAGCCACAGCCTTGGATGACCACGTCCTACACATCAGAGTAACTGGGAGCAAATCCCATCTCTGCCTCAAAACCAGCTTCCCACTAATGCACACCTTGGGAGGTGGCAGATGTTGGCCTAAGTACTTGGGTCCCTGCTGTTCATATGGGACACCCAGACAGGGTCTTGGCCTGGCTCAACTCTAACTGTAGTGGGCATTCAGGGAGTGAACCAGCAGTTGGAGGACTGCTCCCTACCCCCCACAACTGCCTTTCAAATAAAAAGTCACAATGAATAAATATTAAAAACACAAACAAAACACCCCACTTTTTCTGACCCACCTGGATCTCCTCCCGAGAGAGCTGCATTGAATTCTGCACGAAATCTGGGGGCTCGTCCCATCCGCCCTGCTGGGTCTCCAGGTTGTGGTAATAGTAATACCCACCTTTTACCCAGTGCTTCACCCACTTGCTGTTGTTATCTCCTGGCAGCAAACAAGAGGAAAACAGAAGACTCCTGAGTCACAGGCCCAAGGATCCTGTCTGATGCTGCATGACTGAATGGTCAGGCTTAGCCATCTCAAGGCAGACCCTTCCCAAAGCCTAGGCCTTGATGTCTGGGCCCTGCTAAATGATGCCTGTGCCATCTGGCTTAGCTCACGCACAGGAAGAGGAAATACTGATGAAGTCCAATTACGGAACTGCCCATGAATGATCACCAAAGCCCATGTCTGCCCTGCATGTCAGAGAACTATCTGGTCTAAGACCTATAGCCCCTCAGCCTCTCCTGGGAAGAAGTAAGGGCTGTGCATGGTCTTCCATAGCAGGTAAGTTACTTATAAGTGACACCTTGTAAGAGATAAACAGTCAAGTTGTATGAGCTTTCCCATTTTTGTGAACAAATGATCTGGTTAATACAACTGTTGTGATATGGTAGGAGATCCATGCACAGCTGGACTATCACCTCCTTCTATACTAACACATCTGTTGATCCCTTCATGTCTGACCCCAGTGCTCAGCGTCCTTTCATTTTCCCATCCCTCACCTGCTGCCAGCTTTTTCTTCTTGGCTTCAGCAAGGTCACTCTGGTAAGTCTCGCCGCACTCAGGGATGACTCCATAGAGGCCCACATCAGGGGACCGCAGGGCGCTCAGTGTCCTGCTGACATCACCACTCTCCACGGCCTCATTAATGGCAAAGATTCCTAAGGCAACTGGCCCACAACAGAAATGTCAAGGGAGCAGTTTAGAAAGCATCTGAATTCATACACTAGCTCCCCCAGCCACACCTACTCACACAGCTCCTCCCATCCACTCCAGGCCTCACTGCCTTGTCCAAGCCGAAGCTTGAGATATGGAGTCCCCTGGCATGCCCATTGCCACAGAGTCAGAAACATAACAACCGGTACGTACACCTCTGGGCTTCCTGGGTGTCTTTATTGGACTGCCAGATGCCACCTTGAATTTCATCCAACCACAGCACAGCTGACTCGTCCTGGGTTTCCTACACATCAGAAAAAACAAACATTAGGCCAGCAAAATCTAGGTATATTTGATGCTTGCGTTGATGACAGGGTATCTGGGATTCCATTACATTTCGGAAAACTTTCAAACACCTGGGGAACATGTGGATCAGTCAGTGGGAGTAAGTCAGACATCAGAACACTGGAAAAGGCTGTAAGGGGACGGCTCAGATACAATGGAATGGCTGCGATCAGGATACACTTTCAAGAGCTTGGTTCCCTGGGTAGTGATGCTGAGAGGTGCTACAGGACCTGTGCAAGGTCCCTGGGGGCTCTGCCACCAAGAGGGAGTTAGTAGTTCTTGGGGCACCTTGAGTTAGCTCCCCAGTCAGCTGTCACATAAAGGGCAGGGCAGGTCCTCTCCTGGCTCTAGCTGCCCATCTCGCCAAGGGATGCCTCCTTCCTAAACAGGCTCCAACTGTGGCAGCACCAGAGACTGAAATACCTCTTCCTGAATATTCAGTGAAATGAATAAGCATTAGCCCTGGAGCCTTGGCTGTAACCATGGGAACCCAACAAACATGTGAGGGGTACACAGCAAGGAATTCAAGAGGTTCAGGAGGTTGAGGGCAGCCAGCAGGTGGACATTCGGGGAAGGAGCCCAGAGAACCTGGGTGGGCCATGCTGGGGAGGAGCATGGATGCCGAACACTGGTTCCAAAACGAATGGCCAGCACAGAGGATAATGCTCTTTCCAGAAAGTTAAGGCTTATTTTAAATTACAACCTTCAGGACCAAGAGTCAAAATGGCAACCAAAACCCAAAAGTTGAATCAGTGGTGGGGAACTTAAAAACAGCTTTTTGCACAGAAACACACAGATAAGTGGGGCTCCACTGGCCCTGGCACAGTCTGAGGTGACCTGGGCATTTAAAAAAGAATGTAACTTAGATCCTCTGTTCTGAAAGCCATTGGCATTTTTTTTTCAACAGGAACTGTTAGCAGTCATTCTCCCATTTCCAAGAACCTGCCACCCTCCTGAGTTGAGGCAGCAGCTGTGGCCAAGCTCCTGATTGCACGCACCACTGCTGACAGCTCACACACAGGAGTTCTGCTGGCCACCTCTTCTCAGTGCCAGGGCCAGAGCTGGAAGCCAGTGCTGTTACAAAGCCCAATTTCAGAGGTGGTGTAGACGTTATCTGAACTTCCCCTGTGTCAGAGACGGGCCCCTGGTTTGCTAAGAAGCATCAAAGGGCATTCGTGAACAGCTTAGTCATGCATTTTAATGCTGGTAGTCTTCTCAGAAAAGGCAAGGCATTGTGGGTCTTGAGGGGACCAGGGTGGGAGGGTTATGTTTGTGATCATCTTGGCAGATACAACAAGATTAACTGCTCCTAGGGCTTGAGCTATCAGCACTGGGGCAAAGAGTACCTTAGGGGCAGGGTTTGTAATGCCCCCTTCCAATACTAGAGTGCCAGTTCAAGTCCTAGTTTCACCACTTCATATCCAGCTTCCTACTAATGCACCTGGAAAAGCAATGGTAGCTCATGTACTTGAGTCCCCACCACTGACACAGAAGATCTGGATGGATTTCCTGGTTTCTGGTTTCAACCTGATCCACACTTGCCTGTTGTGGACATTTGGGGAACAAACCAAGTAGATTAAAGATCTCTTAGTCTCTTAATCTTTCAAGTAAATAATTTTTAAATGTAGCCCCTTAAGAATCCATCTAGATTGTCCCATGTGATTATAACCAGCCAAGGTGACAATGAAGCAGAACAAAGAACTTGGTCAATAACCCTTTGTGTGGCTGGATGAGAGAAGGTTTGGGCTTTGAGGCAAAGAGGAAAATGCCTCTGCTCAGTAGCTGGAGCCAGGAAGCCTGTGGCGAAGCTTGGCTTTCCTGTGGGCTTCTCATGGAGATGGGCATGACCTGTCACTGAGTAGAACAAAGCAGCGGTCTCCAGGGTGCTAGTGGACAGACAAGGCCCTTGCTCCTCTCTGACAGACAGCTAGAGAAAGGCCGCATCAGCATATTATGGTGGGGATGAGCCGGTCTCAGCTGTGAAGGCTACAGGGCCAGCCTCCAGGAGAAATAGCACAGCAACCTCGACTCTGCAAAACCAGGCAGGGCCTTTTCTACAGGTCAGCCCTGTGGTCCACCTCAAGAATGATCAGTCAGCTGGGGCAAAGCTGGGACACTGAGCCCGACCCTCCTTGCCCTGAGCAAGGTGAAGCTTATGACAGATCTTGACCCTGAGAGAGGCTCTCTCTGCCATGCCCATGCAGACTAAAATCAAAGGATTCATGGAAAATCTTCATACATGCTCCTCTAGTAAGCAAGAGAGCTACAGTATGAAAGGCAAGAAAAAGAGTGGGTAAGGGGCCAGCACTTCAGGGCAGTTGGCTAAGCCTCTGCCTATGGCATCAGTATCCCACATGGGTGCCAGTTCTGTGTTCAGGCTGCTCCACTTCCCATCCAGCTTACTGCTTATGGAATGGGAAAGCAGTGGAGGATGGCCCAAAGCCTTGGGACCCTGCACTCACCTGGGAGACCTAGAAGAAGCTTCTGGCTTTGGATTGGTTCAGCTTTGGCCATTGTGGACATTAGAGGAATGAACCAATGGATGGAAGATCTCTCCCTCCTCTTCAAGTAAAAATAAAATCTTTTTTTTTTTTTAAGATAGTGGGGAAGTGTCTCAGGAAACAGTATTCAGAGACGACCACCCTGACTAAAGAAAGAGACATGCGGCCTGCGCCATCTCAGGTTCCACACCGAGTAGACTTTTTCTGCTCCGGCCAAATCCAAACTCCCAATTCCTCCCAGAAAAATATGTGCCAAAGAGATCACCCAAGATGAACTCCAACCCCTGAGTGGGGCACTTAACCCTGGGCTAGAACTGTAGAGACCATGAGATGCAGTCAACTGAAGGCGAAAGTGCTACCCAGAGCACAGCAAGCACAGATTCACAGCAGGCATGAGTGGCTCTTGGATTACTGAGCGCTTCCGCAGATGACCAGATCTCACACTAAACGGGCAAGGACTATAAAGCGTTACAGCTGAAGGTACCATCAACATGGGGAGCAGGGGGAGGGGGCTAAAAAAGGCTCTTCTGTGTGTACAGCACACTCCCCCCACCAACTATACAGGGCACGTCTTGCCCCTTAAAATTTCCATTAAAGTCTGTATTTTATTATGTGGTGTGCACATATAATGCAGGGCAAAACATTGTATATGTGCCCCTGTAGCCACATACACACAATATACCCCATTCTATGCAACATATTTATCCACTGCACAACACAAACACCGGTCAGCTAGAATGGCCAAATGTGAATCCTTCAGTCGCTACACAGGGAAAAGTTTGGGAAATAGCTAGAACTGAGGCATAATAGCAGAGATGTGGGAGGGGCTGGACTACAGCAATGTACCAAAGCGAAGTTTTAGTATTCAGCAACTGGTACTGACAATACTGGGGCCTACCAGCTCCATACTAGCCATGGCCACATAAGCATGTGTGCACACATGTGTGTTCATGACAGTGAGGTATAGAGATTTAAGCTGAGTTCTGAGAATGTCTGATATCCATGCCCTGGCCTTTAGACTTTACTAATAAGCACCTTCTGGAAGCATCCTAAGGGCACTGAAAGTGTTTTCCTATTTGGTCTTTCATGTGTGTTCATTTCTTCCTCAACCATAACAACAGGAAACCCAATGTGGTCTTACCTGTCGGGCCTGTAACCCCAGGCTCAGCCATTCCACTCACAGCAAGGCTAAGGCTGCTCCTGGAAACGGATCTTGCTCCCCCAACTCAAGCCCCCTTCGCCTAGCTTCCTCTTTACTCCGCTATCCGGCCACTTCGGGCTCTCACTTTGGGCTTTAATCTTCTTGGGCCTTCCATGACCTTGGTGTGCCTGACCTTAACTGCTTGTCAGCATAGCCACTCCCAGAGGGCACTCCTCCCTCCCTGTCCCAGAATCACTGTTCCCTCAGGGTGGGCATCCTTGAAAAGCTGTATGTCCTCTTTACTGCCTTGGTCTGTATAAATGAGCTCAATTTAAAACAAGATGGAAATGACATCAGTGGAAATGGTAGTTATAAAGACCTCTGGCAATCTTCTCAACATCAAAGTAATAAAAACTGTCCAACAATAAAACAATCAAACAAATAAAACTCAATCAGCAGAATCAACATTTTCAAGGCTGTGGAGATTAATTGAGGGCTCAGAAAAATTGGAGTTTCTTCAAGGAAAACAGCTGTATTCCAGCAGGGACAGTGAGCTCCATGTGCCTTCCATGACCTTCCCCTGGCCACCTCCCCTTCCTGTGAAATCCATATCTCCAGAGAACCGTCATTAGGTGGCCCCTGTCACATCACACTGACCAGCTATCTGTATTTGATCTAGCCTGGAGCTCAACCTGGACAAACAGCCTTTTGTATGAGGAGTATTTGTCAAAAACAATAAGAGGCAATGGACAGCAGGTCAGGCAAACAGATGGATCAAAAAATTTGGAATAAAAAGCTGCAGGACGTGGTTTCCACAGGGAGCTTTGAAAATCTGTCATTTCCCTGGGCTGGGAGCCTAGAAGGCCACACTGCATGTGTGGACGGTGCATATACTCAGAAAAGACCTGGGAAAGCTCTCTGCTCTCCCTTCCAGTGGCATGGAAGTTCTGGGTAAGTGCAAAGGAAGAGTGAGGGCAGAGCCATGAACCAGATTGCCTGGTGAAGGCACTCCTGGACACCACAGGGACCTTCAGCAAAGGCCTGGTGCATTACTGGCTGTATTGCATTGAAGGAAACCTCCCTCCTATCACTAACTGACCACTGGTGAGCCAGGCTGACTTCAGAGCTACAGACAACACCTGACAAAGCACACACTTGAGAGAATATAGAAAAGTCACTAAAAATATCAACAAGTACCATGGCAGAGCAAGTTGAGCCTCTGTCTGCAGCACCAGCATTCCACATGGCTCCTGGTTCAAGTCCTGACTGCTCCACTTGTCATTTAGCTACTTACTAATGTGCCTGGGAAAGCAGCAGAGGACAGCCCAACAACTCGGGTCCCTGCACCCACATAGGAGACTAGGAAGAAGTGCTCCAGGTTTTGGGTTGGCCCAGCTCAGGCCATTATAGCCATTTGGGAAGTAAACCAGCAGATAGCTCTGTCTCCCCTCCTTTCTGTACAACTCTGCCTTTCAAATAAAAAAGTAAAAGTAAATAAATCTAAAAACAAAATCAACAGCTTTCTCAAGCAGCTGACTTACGGGGATCTGACTTACATGGTCACTTCACATTACTACTATTCTTAAAAAAAAATCTTATTTATTTATTGCTCTCAGGTCTACAATTCCAAAATGACAACAAAGGAACATCTGCACCAAAAGGGACCACCAGCACAGGCAACCCAGTCCCTGCACAGTCTATGCCTGACCCTTGCCTAAGGCCAGGGTCATGGAAAAGTTGGGCGTTTGAAACATGGGGAGGCCACAGAGGATGATTCCGAGGCGAGTGTGTCCCATACCCCCGGGCTGTCTGTGAAGCTGCACTGTGACACGAGTTGTGCTGACAATGGTCAGGAACTGATCTTGTAGTGCCCAGAAGGAGAATACACCCAAACATCCCGCGTTCAGCCTGCCGGTGTGAATTCTCTTGCCAAGCTCCACAGAAGCACACAGCAGGACTCGAGTCCTGAAGTACCAAACAAAACCACCCTCTGGCAAAATAAAGCAGAAATTAGGACTCAATTTTTTTTAGGCAAAACATTAAAAAAAAAAAAAAGACAGGCCACACACAGCAAGAGCAGACAACAGAAATGACCCCCAAGGAAGCCCAAGGTTGGACTGACAAAAGCATAAGTTAGCTGCTTTAATAATATGTTCAAAGACCTAAAGAGAGGTGTGAGAACTCTGTCAAACTAACTAGAGAATATCCACAAAAACATGTTATTAAAAAAAAAAAAAAACAACAACGAAACCCTGGAATTGAAAAGCTATAGTAACTGGAAAATCAAGTTAATCAGAGAGATTCAATGGCAGATCTGAGCAAGGAGAAGAAATCAGCAAGATAGGTCAAATGAGATCATCCAGTCCGAGAATCAAGCAAAATAATGAAGCAATGGACAGTGCCGACATCCCTTATGGGTGATTCGAGTTCCAGCTGCTCCACTTCCCATCCAGTTCACTGCTAATAGCTTGGGAAAGCAGCAAAAGATGGCTTAAGTGCTTAGGCCCCTGCCAAGCATATGAAAAACTAGAAAATCCTAGCTCCTGCCCCCAGCCTGGCCTTTCCCCGACCACTGTGACCATTTGGATAGTGAACCAGTGAATAGATTTCTTTAACTGTCTTTTACATAAACCAATCAATCATAAAAAAAAGAAAGGATAGGAAAAGAATATAGGCAGACTTGCACTAAAATACAGATAATTGGATTGCAAGAAGGCAAAGAGAGTGTAGGGGCAGGAAAAGCTAAATATAGAATAAGTATGGAATCACTAGTCCAAAAACCTCTCTCTCACACACACAGCACATGGCTTCACTGTTAACTCAATCACAGGTTTAACAAACGTTTTCAAATCACAAGAGGGAGCAGCACTTCCTAGCTCGTTCTAGGAGGCCAGTGTTACCTGGATGAAAACCTAACGCAAAGGTGTTGCACTAACAAACTACGGATCAGACTGAAATCAACATAATGCTTGCCTAATCTGAAACTCAGTGATAATTACAGTACAAATCATCCCCAAAGTGGCTCACTAGAATTGAGAAGCTAAGCAGATGTCTTTAAAAAACAAAAATTCCACCTAACACTCAGATGGACCTGGCAGTGCTAAGCAAACTTTCCTTTAACTTTCCCCTTCCTCTGTTTTTGATGAACTCCGAAAAGTTGTTCCACAGCAAAAAGGAAATGCTTCAAATCCTACTCACATCCTCTAAGAGTTTAACACCATGACCCACACAAGAGCAGATGGCCTCGTGGCAGGACTGACAGCCATACAAGTCATGTTCTCAAGCTGTTTCTCTTGTGAGATACAGAACTAGCGCAGCTCACTGGCCCAAACTCACTCCCAGGTGGACAGAGGTGAGGCTGTGCCTGGGCCTTCCTGAAAGAAAAAGGAAGCACCACTGCCCCAGGCCCACACACAAGGACTACAGCCAGGCACCAAACCACAAATTCTGAATCACTGGAATTAAAGTCTAAAAACCCTGAATAAAAAAAAAAAAAGACTTACTTATTTGAATGTCAGAGCTATATGCGAGGGGGGAGGTGGAGGTAGGGAGTAGACAGACAGATCAGATATCTGCTGGTTTACTTCCCAAATAATGCAACAGCCAGGACTGGACCAGGCTGAAGCCAGGAACCAGGAGTTTCCGCCAGGTCTCCCACACAGGTGAAGGGTCCCAAGGCTTTGAGTCATCCTTTACTGCTTTCCCAGGCCACAAGCAGGGAGCTGGATGGGAAGTGGAGCAGCTAGGACTCAAACTGACTTTATGAGATGCAGGTGCTACAGGAAGCAGCTTAACTTGCTATGCCATAGCGCTGGGACCCATAGAATTTGTATTTTGTTTAAATGGTGTGCTCTCAAGACCAGCCAACATTGGGAAGCTCCAATCCAAGAAAATGAACCAAAGACTCAGACCCCCATTGTCAGAGACTGACACTTCCCTAGCGTCACTGGCTTGCAATCTAAGCAAGTGAAATCTACTGATGTCTTTATCTTAAACTGTTAGGAAACAGTGGTGAGTCAACCTTCACCACAAGATCGAGTGACAGTCCACATGATAATATGTCTCCTCAATGAAACCCAGGCTGTGTGACAGCATGCTTACATGATTGGGATGCAATAATGTCCCAATTTTAGTATATGTGCTGTCAAAGCGAGCACAGAATGCAGTAAAGTCAGTTGCTCACGGTGATGGAATCTAAGGGCATTTCAGCTTTACCTATAACTCCTCCACCCCAAGACGAAACCTAGAGCCCACATGTTGTGTCAGTACATAAAAACCTCCAGTAACATGGAGCCTTGCTCTGTTGTGATCTACCTGGCTTCCAGAAACAACATGGATCCCCTAAACTGAGTTTTCCTTCCAGTTCCTCTGCCTGCTGCAAGAACCTGACTTTGGGAATTTTCTAAGCCAAGGCAGCTCTGGGTCTTGCTCTCTATTGCTATTACTTATGAACAACGTAAAAGCATATCAATTAGTGCAACAGATATAATTATGCTTTAATCAAACCACTAATATATTAGACTCTGCTACATTTAAAGCAGCTTCTTAGAAAGCAATGGGATAAAAAGAGGTGTACATCTCATCAGTTTCCTCAACAAATTAACTTTTAAAACATGGGCTTGTGTTCTAATTACTCTGAAAAACTTTCAGAGTGGCATTATCACTAATCACCTGTAAAATGGAAGCCACCCCTATATGCATCAGCCGGTATGGTCATACACTGGATTATCATTCAGCAACTGGAAGAAATGAACCACACTCAGTGAAGGAAGCTGATCACAAAGGACCAGGTATGGCAGGGTTTCATTTACCTGAAATGTTCAAATGCGTCAGCAGTAGGCTGACAGCTGCCCAGGACCGTGGGAGTTTGAAGGAAGATGGCAGGTCCATGAGGAATGGCTATCAATGGGTACAGATGCCTCTGCTGGAATGTTCTAAAACAGGTCATGCTGATGACTGCAAAAGTTTATAAATATACTAAAAATCACTGAGTGACACACTTTAAAATGGTGAAGTGTACGGAATATGAATCATATTTTAACAAAGCTGCTTAGAAAGTTTTTTGACATTTTTTTAGGGTGGACGTTGCACACAGGGATTAAGACACCACTTAGGATGTGAGCATCACCTATCACAGGGCCTGGGTTCAAGTCCCAGCTGTGCTTCCAATCCTAGCTTCCTGACAGCATGCAGCCTGGCAAGCAGCAGCAGCAGGAGACAGCTTAAGTATCTGGGTGTCTGACACCCATGTGAGACTGAGTGCCAGGCTCCAGACTTCAGCCTAACCCAGCCCTGGCTGCTGTGGGCACTTCTCTCTTTCTCTTTCAAAGCAATTAAGTTTTAAAAATATTTATGACATTATCTACTGAAATTTAACATGAATGTATTCTCTAGGCTCTAACTCCTAAATGTGTGCCTAAGAGCAATACACATATACTTACCGAAAGATGTGCTACAACATCCACTGCACTTTACAACAGCCAGAAAAAAGTAAACAAACTTCACCAATGGTGAAGAGTACACAACAGTGAGAAGGCACAAACCACCACAGAGAAAATCACTACCATAAGGGACACACCTATTGCAGACTGACACAAATGCGTGCACGAGACAGGCTCCTTGGTCAAACACAGGCAAAAACACAACGCGCGACCCCAACTGTGGCTGCCACAAGAGAGCAGGTGGGTAAGGATGGAAGGCGGCCTGAGGGAGGTTTCGGGGAGTGCTGGGAACACTTTCTATCACCCGCATACCAATTATACATGGACAATCACTTTGGAAATTCACACAACCTCCTACTTATATTTCTAACTGCATTTTTCTGGATTCTGTAATTTAATCAAGAACTTAGTTGAACAGCCACTTTTACCAGTAATTTAAAAAGACAAAAACCCAAATGTGTGGAGCAGCAGGTGCTCCTAGGAGGCAGAGTCCATGTCTGTGTCTCCGTGTCTTCCCTGCCCAGGTAGTGCCGATCAAATGCATTCACAGACAGGCCCTCTCTTCTGCCCTCCCCTGCTTCCTCATCTCCATCAGAGGAGGAGGGCATGCTCGGGCCAAAGGGAACACCACTGGTATTACTCACCTGGGCCTTCTCCCTCTTGGCTCTGATGAGAGTGTCCTGGTAGTGCTGGGCCACGTGCGCCAGCACGCCCTCCAGCTTCGCTGCAGGAATCTGCAGGGCTTGCAGTGTCTTCTGGGCATCACCTTCATCCAGGGCCTCGTTAATTAAGCCAATGGCTAAAATCCCTACATGGGAAAACACCATGTTCTTTTGCTTTGCTTTTTGATTGGAGAGGCACAGAGACTTAAGACAGACAAGGAGAGTGCCCTACAGCTGCTGCCCGTCCTCCCTAATGCCAAAACTGGGAGCTCTCCTGCATGCAGCCAGCAGCTGCCGGTCCCCAGAGTGTACAGGAGCTAAAAGCTGAGATCAGGACCCAGGGCCAGGACTCAAACCCAGGTACAGCCAAACAGAAGGCAAGGATCTTAACCATTACATCAAATGCTGACCCTGAAATGTTACATTTTTAGTTAAGACATGGCATGAACAACAATCTTGAAATAAGTGGACTAATCAGAAAGCCACTGAAAGTACACATGATTCAAACTACATTTGCATTTACACTGAACTGTAAATTTTTGGTGCTTATTTTATTCAAATTCCTTTTTATTCCTACTCCCACTGAAAGCTCCAGTCTTTCTGTTCCATGTTTAACTATTCTAACTTGAAAATGGAGAGGATGTCAAACCTGGATATGTGATATTCCCCAGGCTTCTATAAAGTTTCAGGATGTGGCCCAGCAGAAAAGATATGCTTGCTGGTTCCCAAGACGGGGCTTGGTGTCACGCAGCACTGCTGTGGCCTCCCCATTACCAGGCAGGGGTAGGCAGGAAGCCTACCACACATGGCCAAACACTGAGGCAATCATGTAAACATCATGGAAGCCAGACAGAAACTGAGAGCCCAGGAGTGTTCCTGGTTGGTGACATACTCCACAGTGACAGGAGGCTGCTGACAGCTGAGGGCTCAGGAGCTGTGTGCCCAGGACCTTTCTAGGCACAACAAGCTTCCTCTTTGGCAGGTTCTTCCCTAGTAAAACTGCAACCACCAGCTGAGCACTTCTCTGTGTTCTAGGAACCTGGGGACAAGAGGGTGTCCCCTCCCCAACACATACACAAAACCACCACACAAATTTGTAGACAATCTAGGAACCGTGGAACTTGAAGCTAGGGTCTGAAATGAGTCCTCAACCTGCACAATTACATCTGATTCCAAGAACTTCTTGAGGCCATCTGCTGTAGTGCGGCAGGTTAAGACACTGATTATGATGTTAGCATCCCGTATCAGGGTGCTTCTGATTGAGCCTCCTGCTACGTGCCCCAGAAAACAGCAGAGGGTAGCCCAGGAGCTTAGGCCCCTGCCACGCATGTGGAAGAACCAGGGTGGAGTTCCTGGCTTTAGTCTGGCCCAGCTTTGGTTACTGTGACCATCTGGGGAGTGGACCAAAGGAGACCAAGCTCTGTTTCTCTCCTTTTTCTTCTGTTGTTCTGCCTTCTAAACACAGAAATAAGTCTTAATCACTTTTAACCACTGTCAAATGTCTACTCCAACCGCCTGATATTTTGAAAATAATACCCAATCTTAGCTCTCTAAGTATTTTTCAATCTCCCACCTAGAAGCTCCTCCAAGAGCCAAATTTATAGCCAATCCACGCCATCTTGATTGGTGACGTTCCGGGGGTGGAGGGAGGGGAGGCAGGGAGATTACTCACTCTCGTGCTCCTCTTGCACCACCAGGTTCACTTGGTCCACACACGCCTGGATGTCATTCCACGTAATAAATTCATTGTTTTCTGCCCGGGCCTGAGCTTTCAGCTTCATCAACTCATCAAGATACCTGCCCCAGCCCCAAGAAAAAGACAATGAAAACAAAGTGCAGCATGGGAAAAAAAAAAAAGACCAACTGACAAAGCGACAACCATGGCGCAAAGCATTCAATGAGCAGAGGCTGTTGGGACATCACAAGCACGTGATGTATTCCAAAGCAAGGAAACTACTCTGTTCAATAGCTTGCTACATGTTTTCAATTCCAGGTAAGACCAACTCAGGGCAGCAGCTCAAGTAATTGCTCTAAAGTCAAGAAATAAAGTCATACACCAACTAACTAAACAAGTGTAGGAGCAACTCTTCTAGCAAAATCAGACTCAGGCCAAGAACAACATGTGAGCTGAATGGGCCACAGGGACCTGGATTCCCTGAAACAGAGAGATGATGGTCTCGAAGGGAGGGGAATCATGGAGCGACAAGCTGTCACCCAACTGAAGGGACCAGCCCCAGAACTCCCTTTAATGGTAAGAAAAGGGGATATTTTGCCCTTTTGGATATGAGGTAATGTGAAAGTACATCTCACCAAAAACGCTGAGCTGGGTAAAATAAACCAAATTTGAAAAAGCAAACAGGACTATCTGCAGGTGGGGTATTTTACTTGACAGATGGCTCCATCTCCTTTAATATGTCAGTACTGTGGAGAAAGGGACAGCTCTACAACAAAAGGTCCCCAAGAGACACACAGACATAGTGCTGAGTGTGATCTTGACTAGGATAAACCTGCTCTCAAGGTAGTTTCAGAACAACTGGAGATTGCAAACAGACCAGGTGTGCTGATGGTGGGAAAGAAGCATTCCTCCTGTCAGGGTCGGGGCCGTTCTATCTGGGCTCCATAACAAAGGAGATGAGATGTTTGTACATTTAGGGGCAATAATCTGTCATGAGTTGTCAGTCTTTCAGCACGTTAGACTAAAATGGATCCCTCTGGAAGCAACACAAGACACAGCCAGAGCTGCAACAGCTCACTCGCCCAGGGCCCCACCTCTGGCAGTTTTCTTCCTCAATGTTGGTAAGGCCCGTCACAGAACTGCTCAACTGCTTCCACACGGTGTTCATGTCACCCGACTCCAGCGCCCTGTTGATGAGGGCCACCGAGGACAACATCTCCACAGCCACTGCGAGCTCAGGGTGGGTGAGGCTATGCTACACAGGAAGGGAGACCAGGCAAAGATGAGCCTAGATGATCTCAAACACATACAGGTTACCCTATAATGCCACAAAGTCGGGCTGAGAATCACTGCAGTTTGGTGATGAGCAGGTCAGCCTGCTTACCTCTGGACTCTGCTGTTGTAGGGTGGCCAGCTCCTTCTGATACAGGTCGGCAGCGAAGGGGTACACCTGGGGCAGCTGGGCTTCAGGGTTCATCAGCTCCAAGACAGTCTTCTCTGCAACACCCTTCTGGATTGCGGTGTTAATGGCGGCCACTGCGGCCAATCCTGGGGGAAACCAGGAGGTCACTTGGGCAGAGGACTGAGGCCAATGTGCATGGAAGGAAGTTGGGTTCTGTGGGTAAGCCACCAGCCACAAGCCAAGCCTGCAGGGGAGCTTTTCCTCTTTCCTTGCCAGAAGGGAGAACTGGTGGACCACTCTAACTACCTCCCACTGGCTCTCCTCACAGGTTCTCTCCACCAGCCTCCTGGCACCTGAGCCCACTGTCTTCTAACTTCCCCTGTAGGCTGACAAAGACAACAGGTACTTTGTGAGCTGCCGCTCAAAGCTGTTCATAATCTCTGCCATCTCTTTCATCTTCACAACTCAGCTCAGAACACTGACAGACACTGGGATCCTAACTTCTCTTCCTTGACCACCTGTGCCTATACACCAGCTGCTGTCTCCCTTCACTGTCCTACACCACAACATTCTCCTCTCTCCTCTGTCACCTAAGATTACTGACCTCATAAGTGCCACCTCTTCCAGGTTTCCCGAAGCAACCATACAGTCTTGCTGGCCAACTGATTCTAGTCCTACTTGCACAACTACAGGAATCTTTTTGCCACCCAAAGTACCCAGGGGTTTAATGTGTCTGGCAGGCTCAGGAGAAAGCTGGGAGGTGATGGAAGCTAACTCCACCTTTCTCTGCCACAGAGCCCCTCCCAGCCCTCCCGAGTCCTTGCAGGAGCAGCCAGTGGAAAGGCCCCTTACGTCTCTGATACTGCTGCGCAGCCCCGTTTGCGGCATCCACTCCGGCCTGCAGCTCCTCTTTCTGCAGGGGATCGGCTTGACCACTCTGAAAAGCATAGGACATTTGTGTCAAGCCCTCTTGTGGTCTGTGCTGCCAGACTGTAGCATTCTTGTATCACATCAGCAATCATTAGGGGGACAGGGCCACAGGTGGGAGTGACAGCCGCTGGCCACAGGAGGCTGGAGCCCAAAGCCTGGCTGGAGCCAAGGTACAGAGTTTCCCAGACGCCCGCACGTTTTCAAAAATAATCTTGTGACGAGCAGGGAAATGTTTACAGAATCACTAACACTCTGAAGCTGCTCACTCCGACACACGCTAGGAATGTGTGCAATGTATATTTGTCCTTATTTAGACAAAATGCCAAGTCCTTCATGCTTGTTCCCCAGAAACCACAAAGCACAATCCATCCTCAGGCTCAGCAGTTACTTTCCCACTGCTGGTCTGAGGAAGAATGAGGTGTGTTTTTTTTAGTTTTTTTTTTTTCCCCCAAAGTGGAAATTCCTGAGGCAAGAATGTTAAATACTCCCAATTTTCTTTCCCCATTGGTGTTTAGTTGGGGACCAGGAGGGGACAGTTTAAGGGACGAAATGGTTAAATCATAAAGAAAGGCGGGGTCTGTTTATCTTACAAGAGGACCCAAAACCAATGTGTACTGTATCTGGGGACACTAAACAAAAGCAAAAGCAAAAACAAACACGATCACTATATGCAGGAGCCCAGGGGAGGCTGCCCAGGTGGAGGTGGGGAGTCTGGCAGGCAAGCCCCGTGCAGGTTTACCTGTCTCTTGTGCTGCCTGTCACTCAGCAGCTGCTTGAGGTACCAGTCACTGTTCTGCTGCTGCAGACCCCGCAGGCCCAGGGCTGGTGCCTGCAGAGCCCTACCCAGGGCCGCAGCGTCCTCCTGCTCCAAAGCCAGGTCGACATTTGCTAACGCAGAAAGTGCTGAGGAGGAAACAAGGCAACAGCTGGAGAAACACCGCTACAGGAACAGCCCCGTGTACTCTCCCCTCCCCCAAAACCAGCTCAGATCCAACTCGGGCCCTCCTTCTGAGGCCCAGGGCTTGGGCTGGAAGAAGGCTTGCAAGCTTTGGAGGGCAGGGTCCCCACCGAGGGTGTGCCTCAGGTTTCACAAAGACTCCAGGTCTATACCCCAGGGCCACTGAGAAGCTTCCAGATATGGGCAGGGAGTGTGGGACCAGTATGGGCAGCAATTCACAGGCCACCAATCCAGACCAGCATGACGCCTAAAATGTCCTCTAAGATGCCAAGTAGTGGTTGTCCAGATTATGTTTCAGAAAAAAATACCAACTAATCACATCTCTGGAAGACTCTCTAACTCTCCCAGCCCAGAGTCCCAGGAAAATACACCCAAGCCCCACTGGGCTAGAGTGCTGCTCAGTAAAAGCCTTCATCCCTCAACCACCTCCTACACAGCATCACCTGGAGCATGGTCCCCAGGCAGGGTGGCAGTGCCCAGATGACCAGGGTGGCCCAGATGGCACTGTCTGTCCCTCTCAAACATTCCCTCCTTCCAGTCATGAAGCCTGAGGTTGCACAAGCTCTGACACTGCGAACCAGGATGTCCCTTTCCTCTGTAGGTATCTTCCCTACAGAGTGGTTATGAAGATGAAACTGAATCACACACGAGAGAATTCTTGTTAATTATAAAGTAACACACATTATTATGCTGAAAGAATAAAGTAGCTTTTGGTTTTGAAAGTGACAGCCACTGGAGGATCATAATTACTTTCTTTATCCTTGAATTCCCTGTTGTGTAAAAGAGAAATCCAACCAAGCGACGAGCACCTATTCTAACATCAAAGGAGAAAAAAAAATTTTAACCAAAATACTTGGGGCAGAAGCTGGTACAGTGGGTGAAGTCAGCAATTATGGCATCACATGTGGGAACCAGTTCAGGTTCCAGTTGCTCCATCTACAATCCAGCTCCCTGATAATGGCCTGGAAAAAGTAACCACAGACTTTCCAAGTACTTGGGGCTCTGCCACCCACCTGGGAGACCTGGAAAAAGTTACAGGCTCCTGTCTCCAGCCTAATCCACTGGTCCTTGCATTCACTCCTCTGGGGAGTGAACTTGTACATGGAAGAGGTCTGCCTCTTCCTCTTGCCGCTTTTTCAAATAATTAAGCTTTAAAAAAATGGATGCAGTATTTTCCAATTTTAAAAGTTTCCATGAGAAAAATGAAAATTAATGTAAGCTGTTAGAAAGAAAAACAAAACAGCTCAGGAAAATAAAAGCACAAAATAGGAGGCAGGTGTGGCAGGAAAGAATATTTTATAGAACCAGTAGGTAACACTGAGTGGGAAGCGAGGGATGGGGTCAATACAGACGGATTCATCACTTCTCTGCAGCTTCCTGTTGACTGCCTCTCCCTGTGAGTAAGCCTGCACAGGAACTCAATGATCCCTGTGCCTGGGCGGTGGCATCTTACAGCACCTGACTGCAGGGGCACATGCCTGCCGGCTGGCCAACCATCTACTCCTTCAGCCCTGCAGCCACGTGCAAACAGCAGTGAACAAAGCAACGATATCCTCAACCTCAGGGAGCTTCCGAAGTACCGGGGGACAGGAAATAAAACCAACGTGGGCCACTGCAGGCTGTCCCTCAGCAGGTCCTGCACAATCTTGGGCTCTGCCTACGAAAGCACTAGTCAAGAATGCTTTTTCTAGAAGCATTTCTGTTTAAATACAGATGTAAAAACGTGAATGAAAATTTGCTAATATTTATAATGCACAGATGTTTACAACATCATCTAAACACATTCTCCTGCTAAAGTTTACCTAACTCTAATTTATTTTACTTGACAAAAACCCATTTAACCATCTGGTCTGCAGCTTTTTCTGGAGGCAGTGTGAATGGGCCTTCCTGCTGGCCCTTACAGCCTCGGTAAAGAATCTGAGAAACACACATCGCTACTTCCAAATAAAAGATGGACTCCCAATGAAAGTGTTGGACAAATCTAGACAATGGGATGATGGACTGTCTGACATTGTACCAGCAATGTCAGCACACACTTAAATAGCAGACTAATGCAATGGTAACTCCTTATGAAGGAATGTACTGTTGTGACAATATGGGGAAAATCGGGGTGGAAATTGGCGGAAGGGGTATCCCAGACTATACAAAATTGTACCATAAAATTCAAAACTTAAAATAAAAATTTAAAAAAAAAGAAAAAGAATCTTACTGAGAATTCCATTAAGAAAGCCCCTGGAGCTTCCTGGCCCACAGCTTTCCCCTTGCTTCCTGTTTTCCCACGCTGAGGAAAGGACAGCCCCTTTGCAGGGAATGCGGCCCTACCCTCCGCCTCTTCTCCATCCCCAGAACCCTGGGGGGAACTGTGCTCACTGATGACCATCCTGCATTCCCCTGCAGAGGCTGCCTTGCCTCTTTTGCCCCAGGACTGCACAGGTTCTTATCAGGACGCTCTGCAATGATGCACTTGAGTGTCTACCTTCCCCTAGACCCGGCGGTGGAGGTTGAAGGGGAAGGTTTGAGGGACCTAGTGCTAAGTCTCAGTTCACATGAGGACTACAGGAGACACATCAAGAGCACATACACAGCTTTGACCTGGCATGTTTATGACTGACTGTCTCAGCAAGGTATAGCGATACAGGCTATGAAACCCCAGACAATAAAGTACAACAAAGTCCCTTAAAGTGCTCTGTGCGCAGGAACCAGGCTGGGTACTAGGTTAGCACAGACAGCAAGGCATGGGGACCCTGGAGGTAGCCCTGCTGACCGTGAACTACACACAGACCCAGCACAAGGAGCTGCCCGGCTTGAGGGGAAGCCCTGCTGCGTGCACAAAGTCATCATCCACTCTTAACGGAATGCACCAGAATGTGACAACGCAGGGCATCCTGGTCGGGATTTGGAACTATGGTGAAACGTTATCAGTCTCCCCAGTGACCTCCAAATGAACAAACAAGGACGCTGATGACTGCTACCACTGCCTTGAGCAAAACAAGATCCAGCCTGGCCAAACAGGTTGAAATGAAACCTTAGAGATCTTTCCATGAGTCTTATGCCAGGAACTGTGGAGGTACCTCAAGAGTAAATCACTCCCACTTCCAGGAGTGCATGAAGATATCAGAAAGACAGACAAATACAAAACTGCATGATCGTATCTGCAAACTCAAGAGGAGACCTCAAAGACGGCGTGGTGACCTGGGTCAGGTGCTGAGGTGGGGCCTGAGCCTATCTTGGACAAAGGGAAGTTGAGGGGATAAGGGAGGTGGGTCTTATAGCGGGAAGACAGCATGAGCAATACTTAACACAAGCAGTTAGCACCCATCCTCGCCCACAAGTCACCCAACAACTCGGACACAGGGGCCCAACATCACAAAGCTATGGACAGGAGGACAGGAGAGCCAACCCCAGCTCTGGGCCACTTCAGAGCCTGACTTCCCAACATGAATGGGGAGGGGACAGTTAGGCATGGCATGCGACACAACGAGCCTACTGGGCCTGGCAAGTCCAAAGCAGTCCGTGAAGGCCTGCTAGCAGAGTGACAGAAAGAAAACAACACATTCAAAGAATCACTTCCGCTCAAAGTGTGTTACATGGGCTCAGCGTGGTAGCCTAGTGTCTAAAGTCCTTGCCTAGCACACACCAGGATCCCATATGGGTGTCAGTTCTAATCTCAGCAGTCCTGCTGCTCATCCAGCTCCCTGCTTGTGGCCTGGGAAAGCAGTTGAGGATGGCCCAAAGCCATGGGATCCTGCACCCACATGGGAGACCCAGAAGAAGCTCTGGGCTCCTGGCTTCGGATCAGCACAGCACCGGTCACTGTGGCCACTTGGGGAGTGAACAAACAGATGGAAGATCTTCCTCTCTGTCTCTCCTCTCTGTATATCTGACTTACCAATAAAAATAAAATCTTAAAAAACATGTGTAACACATGCTCACATGAAAATTGACATTGGAACCCTCATTTTGTTTAAATATACCTTTCCAATGGCCATACAGGCTGCTTCAAAGTACCAGGGTACCAACTTTTAATTTCTAGAGAGCTTGCATTTTTCTTTAAAATAAAGAATAGAATGCTACTTTAAAAAGGGGGAGGGAGGAGGAAAAATAAGCGTTTTACACAAAATATAAAACACAAGGGGGTTTAGGGTGGGGAGTAGACGGCAGCCCAGCAGACCTGCAAGAGGTCGGCACAGGCCCAGGATCAAGTGCAAGTAAGAGAGGCCACCCAGAGTCACTGATGAAGGAACCAGAAGCAGAGAACTCGTAGGCTGCAGTGAGCAGTAACTCCTGCTGATGCCTGAAGTAAACACACAGTATCAAGGGCCCCGGGTCAGGTTGATGCCCAGGCTCTTCCACCATACACCTTTGGGTGCCCGCCACAGGAACATGCTTACTGTGAACTCTGCTTATCCTCAGGGGCCCCTGTGGGGAATCACTTACTGTTAACTCTGTTTATGTTGCCTTGAATCTCAGCCTGAGTGAGCAGCTCCTCATAGACGTCTCTCTCTCGCTCCGAGTTCTCTGTCTGAAGATGAGTCAGAAATGCAATTAAATTAGCTCATGTTTCTGGCGGAGGGGCACGACCCCAGCCCATTCGGGCTTCTCCCCAGCTCTGTGCTGGGCTTATCCAGCAGGAAGTACAACATATACTGCAATGACAAGTCTGAAAGGCAGATCCATGGGTCCTCCCAGAGCTGAGTGAACAAAGAAGGCACCGGAGGAAGCCTGCCCTGTGCAGGGCAGCTGGGCTGAGGGCCACATCCTGGCCCTTGACTGGACAGGAGAGGCACACACAAGGAACAACTTAGCAACTTAGTGCCTCGCATTAGCAAATCAGGTAGCATCTATTTGCCTGCAGACCAATTTAGCACCCACTGTGGGGGTTGGAATTTCTGAACTATGATAACAGATACAAAGAAGATTCTGAAGGCCAGTGTTGGGGAACAGCAGGTGAAGCCCCTGCTTGAAACACCAGTATCCCACACCAACTTAGTTTGATTCCAGCTAAACTACTTCAGGATCAGCTTCCTGCCATGGCATCAGAGAAGGCAAAAGGGTCTCCCAGATGGGTGGCGAGGCCCCAAACACCTGAACTGCCTTCTGTTGCCTTAGCAGGGAGCTGGATAGGCAGCATGATAGCCCAGAGTACAGCTAGCGCTCTGACAGGAAACGGCATTGGGGCAGGCGCAGCTCAATTCACTGCAAGCCAGCCCCAGACGCCACGTGCCAGAAGTTTATTTGCACAGAATTCAAGAAGCACAGGTCAAATGTAGTCTAATGCCAAAAAGATTACAGACCATGTAATTTCATGCACATAATATTCTTTCAAAAAGTAAACTTATAATAGCAGCCTGCTTAGCCCAGCGTCGGGATGCAGTGTAAATGGGGGACACTTCGGAACGAAGTATCAAGACTTGTCAAACCACAAAGTGGGTCAATTCTACCAGGTATAAATTACACCCCAATAAAACTATAAAACTGGTTCTTTACATGGGAGTCTTATCAACAACAAAAGAACAGAGAAAGGACAGATATTTCATTTTTACCCTGTTTTTAGCATTTGCCATTTTGTCCTGCTTGGCCTGGTAGAGTATATCCTGGTAAGTGGAAGCCAGGGGCTCTTCCAGATTTACAAGCATGGCATTAGGATTTTTCAAAGCTGTAAACGTGTCGGCTGGAATTCTACGGTCGATCGCTTCATTAATGGCAATAACAGCAGCATGCACTAAAAAAAAAAGAAGAGAATAGCAAAGCATGAAACACAGACTGCACAAAAGACACATGCTATACATGGGCACTGCGACCTCCTGTCCTAGAGGCTGGGGTGGGAAGGATGGCCTCCTGGGCTGTCACAAGCTGAGCCTGTCCCTGGCGATGCACAGAACTATGGCTCTGCCTAGAGGCCATGCTGGTGATGCTGTGTTTGGGTGCTCAAAGCAAGACAGTGACCAGAGAGCCTGCAAGGAGCACTCTACAGAGATGTTCTCCTGCAGTCACCAAATACCACACTGAAATGTAGGTATGACTTTCTCAATGTTTTTATTTTTAACACATTATGTCCCACTCTCCTACACAGAGGACACTTATGAAAACCTAAATTAAGCAATTAAATATACTACTTATGGCAAGCTTAAAAATAAATTCCATGTTGTTGAAATAAGTGCAGGATTGAAAATGTGTGACTTAATGGGCTAATTAAAATAGTTTATTTTCAAATAATAATATCATAGAACCCCATCACAACATTTATAACTGTGTCTATGGAGCCAGCGTTGTGGCATGGTGGGTTAAGCCTGTGTCTATAGTGCCAGAATCCTTACAAGCACTGGTTCAAACCCCATTGCTCCACTTCAGATCCTACTCTCTGCTAATGTGCCTGGAAACACAGCAGAAGATAGTGTGAGTGCTTGGGCCCCTCCACACACATAGGAGACTTGAATGAAGCTCCTGGCTTCAACCTGCCCAGTCCCAGCTGAACCAGCAGATGGAAGATCTTTCTGTATCTCTCCCTCTCTAAATGCCTTTCAAATAAATCAATCAATATTAAAAAGGGAAAAAAGCCAACTACCTATGCACTTCAACCTGCCATCAAAGTTCATAATGTTCAGGATCACCACTATGGGATTTACTTTGGCAATGTTAGCAACACGTCCTCATCTGAGCCCACAGCACGCCCCCCTTACGTGCAGCTTCATCCACGGAGAGCTCATTGGCCAGGATGCCCCCGATCTTGCTGAAGGCAGGCATCTGGATCCCATACTTCTCCAGCTCAATCTTCATGTTGTTGATTTCTTCTTCTGCAGAAGGGAATTAAAACCCAGCCAAGCAAGTTAAGCACCTTTCCCCAACTTAGAAAAGGTAACAGATTACCCCACTATGAAACAGGACGAAATGGCGTCCATCCCTAGGGCAGTTACAAGGGATCAGGACCCTAAGTGAGAGGAGCCTGATACACAAAATGATGCCCTCCACAGGCACGAGCTAGCGTTGTGGTTATTGTATCAAAGGCATCAAAAACAGCTATAAAGGGAGAAGGCCACGGAGGAAACAGCTTTGATAACTGCTCCATCAGGCATTTCCTGCAATGAACTTATGAACAGAGCTCAGAACCAGCTCAGTACAACCAGGCTGTACAGACTGCCTGGCCATCTCAGTCTGTACAACCCAGATGAATAGCTGCTACTCGGCATGGGTTCTAAGGCAGAAAGCCTAATGACAAAGAAAACAGCGTGTGAGCTCTGACCCCAGCCCTAGGTCTTCAAAACAACTTCCCTGGATGGAACGACACCACAGATAAAAGCTTTTAACATTTTTGCTTTCAGGGTGAGAGAGTAATCTCCAGTTTGAAGATGTCATCTATCTGACCCCTAACTAATACTACATCACGGCCCACCCCTGTCTCTCCTTTTCTTTGAGGGCCTGGCTACAGCAAACACTCAAAGAGACCCCACTCAAAGAAGTTTACATGTTAAAAATTGCTGAATTATCACTCCCTCTTCCCCCAACCTTGCTTAGTCCACAACAGGTGCCTGCCATAGGGAAAGGTATTATTCCTGTATTAGCTACAGGAAAACAGAATCACTCACAGTGCTTACACTGTGAGAGACTAGAACCTGAAGTCCCAAGTTCAGTGCCTCTCTCACCATTCTGGAGGCAAGTTATTAATATCCTTTTGGGTTTACTGCCAGAGTGCTTGTTTAAGCACCTAAATGGGCACAACTAATCCTCCAGGCTATTCCCACATCAATCAAATATTTTTCCTGCCTCTTGTGTGATCCCTTACCTGTGAAGTCCACCTTTCCGTATAGGTCCTGGATCTGTGGGGCCAGGCCAAGCTTGAACAGGTACAAGCTGGAGACAGAGGGAGGAAAGTCAGCTTTCTCACTGACCCCAGGGGCTGCTGTCTTCATGGTCAGACAGCAAGTCAAGTCTTACTCAACTTTGTTACTGATGGATAAGCTTCATCCAGACAACTTTAGAAGTTTTTTAAAGAATAAAACACATACACACCCCTGCGTCAAAGCTCCATGCAGCCAGGGATGAGAGCAGCCTTACTCATCTATGAACCCAGAGCCCAGCACACACTGACCCAATGTGTTCATGGGTGGGTGGAGACCTGTCTGTGAGCCTCAGGTAGGCAAAGGGGCTGCAAAGGCACTAGCAGGTCAGGGTTATAAAGTGAAGAGAGACCATCAGAAGGGCACTTCACAAAGACGGATATGACCAAGACACTGACAGTCTAGCAGTGAGGGAAACATTTTTTAAAAATCATAGAAGCTTAACAGAGTGACCTATAGTTTTTACAATTAATGTGTAAACCTTAGCATCATGTAAATACAAACAAGTATCATGTATACTACAGTCACAGAATTCCACTGCCTGTAATAAACTCAAATGTACAATCTGTTTTTTTGAATGTTCCCTCAATGGAGCACAACTAGCATCACATGCACACAAGTAAGTGCTTCTCTTCACTGCTCAGCACACAGCACGGAACTGTGACAGCCACCTCTCAGATTTTAACCTGTCTAAAAACTGCCCAAAACAATTTTATCTGAACATAACCTGCCTCCTACTATATTTTCCTATTATTATGCCCCACTTGCACTATGAATGTCTAAGAACACTTCTGAATCTTTGCTCTTATCTTCCATGCCTGCTTTTAAAATAACACATTATTAGGGGCCTACAATGGGGTCAGCCTGAGATCTAACTTGCAGTTGGCTTTTCTCTTTCTCAAACGGGGAGAAGGAAGCTGTGACAATCTACCTGGAGTCCAATTATCTTGCTGCATGAGAGAAACCTACAAGTCCCTGTGCAGATGATTCTGAAGCCCAGCAGTGGACTGAGGAGACGGAATCTGGCACAGGACCGCAGCCCCTTCTTGGAACTCTCTCAGCCAGGTAAATGGGTGCACTCAGCATCACATAATATGTTGCCACGCACTGGGGCAGCACGCCTGTTCAGTACTTCTCTGCAGACACATATGTAAGCAGACAAATCCTCGAAACAACCTCAGTTCATTCTTAGCCAATCCTGCCAACAAGACGAGCTTCCATCAAACATCAACTACATTTTCAAATCCTTAGGCTTTGCTCAAATTTGGGCTAAGAAACTATAGAAATTAGCTCTTAGAATAACCAAACATAGAAAATACACAGGCATTCAGAATAATAGAAAGTCGGACTCTAGTCGGATAGCAGGGTGGCATCTAACAAAATGATCTGGCTTGACTGCAGTGCAGCCAGTGCTGCTGGCAGAACGCCAGGTAAGGCTGTAGGAAAAGACCAAGAGAAAAGCAGGGAGGGATTGCCTGGGAGATGAAGTGTATGCCACGGTGGGCCACAGAGGGCACCTGCCTCAAACACAGCAGATGAATACGCTCTGAGCTGTTGCAGACATCGCCTACGTATCACCAGATGGTGCCAACTCACCCTCTGGGAAAAACAGCGTAGGAGAAACTGGAAATCTCAAACTAGAACACACTGCTCTCTGTGTACACAAACTACACATTCAAGGGGAGTAGAAAACAATGGGGGACTTCCTCCCTTTGTGCTTTTGAGGCTCACTAGAAAGGCATTGCTAACTCTTCATCTCTGTTTTAGAGAAAGTTTGAGGGATGTGGGATCCAGGTTACACTGAAGGGTACAGGCCCCGAACCAGAGGAGGAATTCTGAACCAGCTCACTCTTGGCTTCTGGCAAGTTCAGATACCCACTGCAGGTAAAGCTAGCACACCATTATCAACACAAACCTCACACAGCACCAAGTCAACGCCCATTCAACCCCATGCTCAGAAAAAACCTGATTTTGGCTCAGACACATACATTTGAAATTGTTACATTCTACATTAATTCTGTGTGTGTATTTCATATGAAATCTGGTAAAAACCACTCTAATTAACTATGTAAAGATTGTCAAAAATACGATTAAAACAAATGCAAAAAAAAAAAAGAAAAAGAAAAAGAAATCTGGTAAAACCAAGGACATAGTATATGTCTTATGAAAAAACCAGGCACAATAGGCTTCTCATAAATACACGTGTATACAATTATCATGTATGAAGCACATATAAAAAAGAACAGCCCACAGAAATCTCATATTCATGTTCTGCTTACCTGTACTACCTTCTCTTTTAGTCCCATGGCCACTGGGTAAATCTGCTATATATGATACACAACTCTGCACTCCTGTAGTGTAACACTATGGTTCACTCCTATGCCAATTCTTGTGGTACACTATAATACTCCTATTTGAACATTATTATACTCCTTTGTTATACGCCTATGCTACACTACTACAGTACACTCTAAGTATCTTGTGTCCTTCTTTCACACATATTATCTCTTCTTTCCAAGCCAGCACCTTGTAGATTCAAAGAGCTGGGGATTCAAAATTAAGGCATCTTCCCAATTTACCATGAAATTATTTAAAAATATAGACACTTTTAGTTCTACTGCCATAATTTGCACTGGCATAAGAAATTATTTAATGAGCGAATAAATATGAAGGTGAGGCTCTAGAAGATTAAAGAAGAGATTGTTCCCAAAGAGAAATGCATCATTCACAAAAACACTAGATCAGTAATGAAAGATTATACCATGTTTTTAGAAGAAAATTACCTACTATTATGGGAATAAACAAATCCTTTGTCCCTCCTCCCTAAGAAAAACACAGCTGTTTCTCACTATTTTGTTAGGACAGCAGCATTCTATTCTATTTGAAAAATCCTGAAGTTAGTGGGAAAATATTTTTACTCTAATTCCATGGGCAAAAAGCCACACAACTGCAATTTAACTTCTAAACCACACATTAGACCAAGAAAGCCTTATTACCTGAGAGCGTGGATACAGTAGATACATCTTGGCATGTTCTTTCGATCATAGATATCTGTGGTTTCTGGGTAAAAAATCTAGAGAGAAAAGAAGCAGTAAGATAGCCATCCACAGATTCATCTGAGCATCCACCAGCAATGCAAACAGAACAATGGAGGATTAGAAACCACCGTCAGTATTCAGCAGAGAACTTCATTAGGGGGAACAAACATTTCACCTGCAGGACAAGTAAGGAGATGCTAGAATTATGAAACAAACAAACAAAAAAGAGCCACTTGGTCAACCCACTGGATTTTCACTTAGGGATGCAAAAGCTGATTTACTTATTTCAGGCCCACACATGGGCAAATGGAATCCAAGTTGCAAGCCAACTGAATTCACCAGGTAAGTACATGAGACTTTGAAGAGCCCTAGGGATGGAGCAGGTGTGAACTCAGAACAGCCTTGAAAGTCAATCCCTACCTCATAGTAAGGTGGCACCACACAATTCAAGCTCTAAATGAAGGAAATGTGGGGTAGCAATGGCCGGCAGAAACTACAGAAATGCGTTAATCATGATAGAGAGCACACAAAGTCGTCCAGGCAAAAGACATTGCAAGAATAAAGCAAGATGGTGCCAGGTGGTACAGTGCAGTGGGTTAAGCCACTGCTTGGGTCACCTGTAACAGAGTACCAATTCAAGTCCCTTGCACTCCACTTCCAATCCAACTTCTTGCTAAAGCACCTTGGGAAGGAAGCAGATGATGGCCCAAGTACTTGAGGTCCTGCCACCTATGCAGGTGACCCTGAAGGAGTTCCTTCAGCCTGCTTGCACTAGTTTTTGCAGATGTTTGGGGAATGAATCAGTGGATAGAAGATACCTTTTCTCTCCCTCTATGCCTTTCCAATAAATAAGTAACACTTAAAAAAAAAAAGTGGAGCCATTATTGTGGTTAAGTCATCACTTTGGATGCACCGGAGCATGAGTTTGGATCCCAGCAATTTCACATGATCCAAATACATGGGTCTTTGCCATCCACATGGCAGAGCACGATGGCTCCTGGCTTCAGTCTGGTCTAGGATGGCCATTTGAGAGTGAAGCAGCACAAAGATGTCTCTCCTCTCTGTTCTGCCTTCCTCAAGAATCCTTTTCTTTTTTCCCCCAAAGTAGTATCTTAATTTTGGAACTAAGGATAAAAACAGAGGCTCAGGAAAACCTGTCTGGAGACATGACACAAGCCACACTGGCTGCTGAAGAGCCTGCAGCTGAGGGGTCAGCCTGGGAGGCTATTTTAACTTAAAAGGGAGACTTTAAATAAACAGCAGGTGTCAGGAATCTCAGGATTTAGGAGTCCAAAGCATTTCCAAGGTTTTGAGACCAAACGACTGTGAAAATGATACGACGGCCTCCTTTATTACAGAAGAGGGGAAGCTCACTTGGTTTAGTTTGAAACATGGAAAATTCTAGGCAATAGGAAGCTATCCAAGCAGAAACACTCAGCAGACTGCCAGAGATGCTGTGCTTGCTTCACAGAAGAGGGTCTCACAGTAACTGAAACCACAAGAACGAGAGAAAGCAGCTAAAATAAGGATTTCAAGGAAGGCAGGATAACTACAGAAACTGTACTCATTGGACAGACTGCAGAAAAAAAATATTAAAAATCGAAACAAAATATTTCAAGGAGAGCGTTAGCCAGCAGTACCATTTAGAAGGTATCATAAAGAAGAACCAAAAGCCTACTGCATTTCTACAATTAGCCTGTCTACTCCATAGAAAGAGATCAGAGAAGACGTCCTACAGATCCCACATCTGCATCTGTATTTGAAAAGAGACAAGTGTAAAAAAACAGGCTGAGTATCTCTTGAGTTCAAGTCACTCAGGAGTCTTCTGGACCCAACTCATGGAAAGTAGATATTGCAAGGCTCACAAGCATGACTGCTGTGTTTTCCTTGAATGGTCTTGGGGATTCCAAGCTTGCTGTTATTCCATTCTTGCGGTCCAGGACAACTTACTACTATAGTTAGTAAACCAAAAGCAAAGGTAATGAAACAATCACGTTAAAGTAGTAACAATACTGCTAGCAACAGTGAACATTAACAAAGCTCTTAGTGCAACTCAAAGGGGTTAAATCATTATTGTCCACTGGCACCATCCTATTCCAAAACAGGAACAGGAAGTCACAGGTGCACAGAGAAGTCAAGACACTCTAAGAACGGGAAGGCCTGCGTTTCCTGACGTTAGCGGGACCTAGTTCTCGAACATACCGGAGGCAAGGAAGAGGCCTTCAGCACTTGGCTCTGAAAAAAAGTGAACAAAAGCTTGTCTCCCACAAAATCCCAAGCTCCAGATTTAACTCAATGGACATGTACGTTAACAAGCTTGGCAAACATTCACATCAAAGTAGTTTAAGCCACTGTCTGATATTTCACACCTCATTTTTTTCAAGAGCCGTCTTTAGTTACAAAAATTTGGACTCTACAAGAAAGTATTAAAAAAAAAAAACCTTTTGTTTTGTTTTGTTTTGTTTTGAAAATCACTCTTTAATTTCATTACACAGAAATTAAAAGCCCTATCTTCTTATAGGCTTTTACTAAGAATGCCCACTTAATTTTTACACAAAAATAATTATCTCAGGCAGAATACAGCCTTTTGTAATCCCAAACTGGTTCTCCACCCATGAATATACCAAAGGCAGCTTTCTCTGCACAGGTTGATGCATTCTTTAAAGGCATTCACATTTGATTGAGTTTAACACAAATAATGCCTCTTATAAACAACATGGGACTTACTATTCCAAGCAATGCAAAAAAATATCCTGCCATGTACATCTTTTAGGGACTGTCTGCTCATCTTGGGGGGACAAATTCCTAGATGTGAGGGCCACCACTGTAGCACAGCTGGTAAAGCTGCTGCCTGTGGATGCCAGCATCCATCCTGACCACTGGCTTCAATTCTGGCTCCTCTGCTTCCAATCCAGTTCTGTGCTAATGCTTCTGGGAAAGCGAGGAAGATAGTCCAAGTGTTTGAGGACCTGCACCCCATGGGAGACATGGATAAAAGCTCCTTGCTCCTAGTTTGGGCTTGGCTCAGTCCCAGCCATTGCGGCTATCTGGGGAGCGAACCAGAACATGGAAGCTCACTCTCAAATTTCAACTTTCAAATAAATAGAAAACCTTTAACAAAAATTTTCTAGAACTGCAATTCTTAGGTCAAAGAAAGAGCAACAAAGAATGAGAATCAGAGCAAGGTAAAGGGAGCAAGAAAGACAGCCATGTCTGTGAGTGCCGACCCAGCGAGGCCTTCGCGGATTCAAGGCAGGAATCGGCAAGCTCCACAAAGGGCAGAGCTTGCCATCATTGCAGCAGCTCCACCTCACATGTGGAACAACCCTCAAAGCTCGCTGCATTCGCCAATTATGTACCCAAAGACATTTCTAGAATATTCCCCAAAGTCAAACTTTAATATAACAACTTACTGAATATGGCCAAATCACTGAATTGCAGGCTTAAAGCTGTGAATCTCACTGCATATGAGTTACAGCTAAGAAAAATTTCACTTTCACCTAAGTAGAAGTATCATCAGTGGGAGCATTCACTGGATGAGGGAAAGAAATGCTAAGAAAAAAAAAAAAAAAGAAACCACTTCCTAAATCAAATCAAAGAAAGAAAGAGACCCTAAGCATTTAAAGAAAAAAGAAATCAGCAAAGATTCTGAGAGTAAGTTTACAGCCAGCACTGTGCATCTCCATAAGGTACCTTGGGCAATCCGATCTCCCCCATGGCGTTCAGCCACTGAATCACGTTATCGGTGTGTCTGAAGTGGAGACCAGTCGCCTAGGGAAAAAGAAGAGCATCAGAATCCTGCTGTGTCCAGCTCACACTACGGCCCTTCCCCACTATGAGTCTCTGTTTCCTGCCTGCAACATCTACTTGTTGTAAAGATGGAATGGGATAACTTATCTGCAGGGAGGCCTTACTGGGGTGGTCCTTACAGCCGGCAATTGCTCAACAAGGCTTTCACACTACTGAGAAATGGCCCCCTCTCCAGGGCAGGCCTTGCTTTTAGCTCTTGCTGTAGCCTGCTCTTCTTATCATTCGACTATCCAAACAGAGCTGTCTACAGAGTCACTCTATTGAAAATGCACCCTTCAAGTCTTTGTTTTGTAAGAAACTTCTGTTTAGGATGTTACTTTTTGTTTAGATGCTATGCCTCTTCTTTGTCTTCCCTGGAATTTAAACATAACATAACATAAAAATCTCTTTTGACACTGAGTTGTAGCCAGTGGTACATGCAGCCCTGCTTGTGTCTGCTCTACGTTACGTGGTCCTGCACAGTACCCCTCTAGGAGATGTGCACACAGTGGGATGCCGGCCTTACCCCTGCGCATATCCTAAGTCAGCTCAGCAGTCAGCCGTCTCAGGGCACTAGGGCTTAGCAACCAAACTTCTCCACCTGTCTCAAGTTGGATCAATTCTCCATGTTACCTTGACCTTGAATAATATGGGGTGATTTTTTTCCCCCTCAAGCTCCTACTACTTTGCAGTGGCTAACAAATCTCAGGGCTTAGTTAAATTTAAGATTTACAGTAATAATTCCTCTTGTCACTTCCTCTACTTTCATGTAGGACTATGAAAATGTCTATAGATACACACTGTTACAAGAATCTGACCAGAAACACAGAAAGCCAAAACTCTTTCATGGCTGAATTTACCTTTGCAGTGCAAGTATTTTCTTCATGCTCCCAGGCTATTTAAAAGGTTATCCATGCTGCTGGAGTGCGCGCGCGTGCGTGCGCGCGCGCGCACACACACACACACACACACACACACACACACATATATATATATCCCTCAACCTGTTTCGCAACAACTCTCTTAAGGGATGAAATATGTAAAGCGTTCCTTCTCAGCTTACGGGAAAGAATCCCAGTCCTAAGCAAGGGTAGGACTCACCTTGTATCTGGTCTGCTCTCGATCATAGATTTTTTTCAGGGACACCACTTTGGGAGAGAAGAAGTTCCCCAGCTTGGCCAGGTAGACCCCGTTCCTCAGCCCCTCCTCCAGCTCCGTGGTGGGGGGAAGATCTTCCCCCAGGCATGCTTCCATCCACCTACATGAAAGGAGAAAGGAGGTCAGAACTGCTTTTTGGAAACCCAGAGCTCCGTGTCCATGATCACTGGAGGCTTAACTGGAGCACAGCAAGGCACTTCCACATGGGACCATGCCCCAGCCCAGGCAGGGCTCGGAGGCAGTGAACTCGGGAAAATCCCTGAGTGTGAACATCACCTTCTTGATAGGGCTGGCAGCTCTGGTGATTCCCCTTCCCCCACCCCCACCGCTCCAGGAAACTCAGACCTTTCAGTACTGCCTGGGAAACAAAAATCATTTGTAACAGAAAGCACCTCTCCATTAACTGCCACAAGCCTCCATTGGCTGGAGTGCTGGACACTCCACAGCAAGTGTCTAGGCTCAGGATCTGGGCCAAAATAGTCAATTCTTAAAGTACTGAAAGAATGAGGTCTTCATGGAAGAGGGCACAACAGGGAAAGGAAGAGAGAACTACACTCACATCCCCTCCCCAGATTTTAGGGAAGTGTGAGATAAAACAAAGGGAAGCTTAGCTGTGTGTATTTTCCACCACCGGAAACATAATTATCTAAAAGTCATTTGTGGCAATGCTTTTGGGCCGCTTCTGAAGAGAGACTCCTTGAATATCTAAGGGAAACTATTGAATTAGATTTTATTTTTGCTTCAATTTCACAGGTTTCAGGGGCTGGCCTTTGGCTTAGCAGCCAGAGCTGCTGCGTGCAGTGCCAGCCTCCTATATGAGTGCCAGTTCAAGTCCTGCCTACTTTTACTTCTGATCCAGCTCCCTGCTAATGCACCTAGGAAAGCAGGGGAAGATGACCCAAGTGCATGGCCCCTGACCTGTCTGATCCCAGACTGGCAGAGGGGTGCAGCCTGCCTGGCACCTCAGTGTCACATTCCTGGCCTGCCACTCCTGCTTGGGACGTGTCAGGCCTGTGGACTGCCAAAGGCTCTCGCTGGGGCCTCCATTCTTCCAGTTCCTGGCCTTAGACCCCTGGCTTAGCTCAGTGGCATGCCATGGGAAAAGCCGCTTCAGGCTGCCTGTTCCTAGCCTGACATCACATGGGTGGCACAAAGTGCCACTGGAAGCAGCCTGGCTTAGGACCAAAAGTGTGGATTTTCAGGTCTCTTTCTATAAAAGCCTATCTTTTGCAGATATAACATTAAACAACAGGAAACTATGCTACCTCACTGGTATAGTTAACAGAGTTGACATGAACCAGGCCCAGGACCGGATGCCAGTCAGCTATTGGCTGCTTTTTTCCCAGCAATGTACAAGATGTACAATGTACAATGACTTGGTACAAGACAAAGTTTTATTTCTTAAACAAGGAAAAATAACAATTTCTCTACTTCTCTTCAATTCTATGGAGCAGTCCATCATCCAACTAACACAACAGTTCTTGATAAAAGCAGGATGAACCTATGAAGGGCCAGGAATTTTTCTGCTTCCCACATTCAATGACAATAAGGTTTTCAAGGGGAGAGAAACGAGGGAAACAAACAAGCAAGTTTTCCTTAGAAGAGTTGCCATGGAGGATGACATCATCCTTGGATCGGTGAAATCGGCAGCATTTCGGAACTATCCAAACCACTTAGCTGAAATCCTCGGAACATGTACATATTAAGACTCTGGATTGATATGAGGTGGCAGTTCCTCATTCCTGGGTACTGGGACGTGTGCAAAGTCATGAGTGGTTTCCCCCTTTGTCTCTCCCTTTGCCCCAGGAACAATAAGAAATAGCAAATTTTGAAGCAATGAGTTCACCCAAGTTTCCCTAAACCTTGATCCTTCCCTCCCTGATCAACCATGTGATCATTATTAAAAAGTAAAATTTATAAATAAAAAAAAAGAGTTGCTATAGTAACTACAAATAGATACTGTTCACAACAGCTACATCATCAGAACTACACCCCTGCCAGCGCCTGTAACCTTGTAACACTGGTATGGAAAATAGCTGCAGTCCAAAGACATGCTTCAGTTAACTGTCCTCCCACTATTTTACTGCTAGGAGAGATGTAGGTAATAGCATTCTGGCAAAGTGCTCCTGGCAACCCCAGCCTTCAGGTCACAAACTAGCATGGTTTCTCATGAACCCCCACACTATAGCCTCAGCCGAAAGCAGCCATGTGGCACCTGACAGCACAAAGGAAAAAAACCACCAGCATCTCAAAGTCAGGTGAGCACTCAAGAAGGCTACAGATAAAGAAGACAGGAGGTACTTGGACCCTATATCGATACCAGATCCCAGGAGTGGGCCAGTCCTCCTCTGCTGCTGGGTTACCAGATCTTTGCCTGGCCTAGTGCCACAGCTGTCAGAGTCCCTGTCAAAGACTCCAGCAGGACAGAATACTTTGCCTTTGCCATAAGGGTCAGAGAGAACAGCCGACTGATTTGGTGAGGCTGTAAGAAGAGGGAGAACTAGAGGCAGGCCCAGCACCAGCTCATGGCACCAATGGGAACACTTGCTTTCCCATATCACACTGCCGGGGTTCAAGTCCCAGCTCTGTTTCTAATTTCTGCTTCCTGCTGATGCACACTCTGGGAGGCAGCAGACAATGGCTCAAGTACTTGGATTCCTGCCACCCATGGGGGGATATGGGGCAGGGAGGGGGCGTTGAGTTCTGGATTCCTAGCTCCTAGCCTGGGGGAATCAACCAGCAGATGGAAACTTCTGTCTTTCTCTGTCTTCCCCACACCTCAACTCTGCTTTCAAACACACAAAATTACATATATATATATATATTTTTTTTTTTAACTTCTCCAAACCTAATTGCCTCCCAAGTGGCCACAGGTTGCCCCTCCTCCAGTCCAAACTGCTTCCCAGAGAACACCAGCTGGTTTCTTTATCATCAGTTAAATCAGGATCGAACTGCTTTGGAAAAGTCAGGAGCCACGTGACTTTTGCTGGCAGAAGTTTGGAATCAACTCCAATTCCAACAAGACAATAAGCCCTCCTTTCACTCCTCCAAGGTACACAAAAGCCTCCGCCTGCTCTGCTAGTAAACTGTAGAGTCACATCACAATCCAGCCAGGGGCCCAAGGTGCTTCTAAGGCAAACGTGCTCACTGTTTCTGTTTTGTTTAATATAATACATTCCACTGAAGGAAATTACTAAGCATTTTGGATTTTACAAATATTTCCCATATTTTTGCATCATTTTGAAAACTTTAAGTTATATAAAAATTCTACCAAGTGTTTAGCCATTCACCTGTTTGGACATTTATGTCATTTCTTTATGTTTTCAAGCATGAAATGACACTTTAAGGAAAATTAATTCCTTAGGAATCCTTAGTTAGCTGCAATATCAGAGGCATCTGAAAGCTTTCATTCTCTTTTTTTTTTTTTTTGAAAGCTTTCATTCTTGCCCATGAGCCTTCCCAAAGCTTGGGCTTCGTGCGCAATCCCACCCCAAGTACCTCTGCTTACAAATAAGACTGAGGTTCATTCAAGGTCACCAGCTGACTGGTGGCACAGATGCAGATGCAGTAAGACTGACTGTGAGTTGAGAATTCTCCTCGTACCACAGCCCCAAGCTGTGGGACAGTCCAGCCAGGGCAGAGTCTCAGATGTTCCACAGAGAGAAAGGTTTCGCTGGCTCCACGTTCTGTCCACATGCTGGTTGAGTTCCTGGCATCTCAACTGTTACTTCACCAAATTCTCCTTGGAAACTTAAGCATTCAATTTGTCTTTACACATAGATTTAAAATAAGTCCACACACAAGAGAAACAGTACTGGTGCCCACACACCTTTCTGCAAGTTTGCATGGGAAGACCGCCCAGGTCTTGGTCACAGTGTCTTCAGGGAAGAAGGGCCGTAAGACAGCTTCCTGTTCACCTCAACTCCGGCACCCTCTCCCCACTCCGAGGTCTGATACTGAAGTTGATACTGAACATGGATAGTGACAGGAAACTGAAACTTTCACTTCTGCAGGCCAATGCCTGTTCTCCAGGGACCCTGAAGAGGCCGTGCCTTTCCTGTAGCCCTCTTGGGATGAGTCGCACAGCTGACACATCCGTAAGTAAATCCTTCCAGTTTTCCCAAGCAACCCTCCTAAGCAGAAAGTGAACAGGGGTGACTGGACAAAGCCACTGCCTGCACCGTCAGCATCCCACCCAGGCACTTGTTTCCAATCTAGCTCCCTGCTAAAGAGCCTGGGAAAGCAGTAGAAGGCTCAAGGGTTGAATCCCTGCATCCATACGAGAGACCTGGATGAAATTCCTGGCTTTGCCCTGGCCATTGCAGCCATTTGAGGAATCAATCAGTAAGTGGAAGATCTCTCACTCTGTCTCTATCCCTCTCTGACTTACAAATAAATAAATTCTTTAACAAAAAGAGAAAAACAACAGCTCTTTCTCCCAGAATGTGAGGACTAAGAGATGTGACAGGAAAAGCTAGGAATGATGCCTGGGCACCAGGAAGGCTCCCGGCACTCCTAGCAGGTGTCCCTCGCATCTTCCGCATTCACCTCTGCATGCTCTCTCGCTGGCTGCCAGGCTCCAGGTATGGTCTGACCAGCCAGGAAAGGCACGCAACAATCATCTTCTTTACTGTGAACTCTCTGGACCCACACAGCCAGCCTCAGATTACATTCTCTATTCTGTTCCAATCAACAGAAGCTCTATTTCTTCCCAAACACAGAGCTGTCAAATCATCTCTCCCCAGTCCCACACTAAAAGCAAGCTTTGTACCCACCTCCATGACAACTGTCCATGTTAGATTCAGCTGACTGTCCAGAAGGTCTATATCTAGGGTCCTAATGTTACCTAATACAGCAACTTCTCTTCCAGCAACAAAGCATCCACAGATGTCCATGGGTTTTACAGGACGAAGAGGAGTTTACCCAAATGGCCTAGAAAGAGGAAGCCTGAGAAACACCGTGTGGTGGCCCCGCCTGGCACTGCCACCACTAGGAGTGCTGGGAGGCGAGGGCAGGCAGGTGAGCAGGGCTTGTCACACCAATAAGCCTTCACTCCATCCTGGTCACATAGGACACTGAAGGGTGCACTTCTCAGAAATT